TAAATTTCCCACCTTCCCCTTAAGCCCCTTCCCACCCTCCCAAAACCCCCTTCTAAACCCTTTGAAACCCCCAAGCTTCCCCCCTATAGATTTTTCTTCCTTCTTTATTTTTTCCTTTCTTTCCCCATAAAACCCCCTTTTTGGGTCACTAATTTTTTAAACCACACCTTTTTTTTCCCCATCCAATTTTTCTATAATTTTAACCCCCCAATCCCTTCTAAATCCCCTTTCCCCCCCCCGGGAACCAAAGTTCAACCCCATATAAAAATTACTTCTTTTTTCCCCCCCCAAAATTTTTTTTTTTCCCCAATTTGAACCCCAAATTTTTTTTTCCCTAAATTCATTTACTATCCTCGTAATCATCCCCGACACGTCAACTCCAAGTATCTGAAAACATTCACTTTTTCCATATTTCCTCCTCCCCATTTGATATCCAATTTTTTTATCTAAATCATTTATACCCCACCCCAAACCTTTTCTATGTTCACTTTCAACTTTCTACGAACTTTAAAAATGGTATAAAATACCGACAAGTTGTTAGGTAAGACACATATCAACAGTTAGGAAATCTTTATTTCGAAACGTTTGGGCCTACACAGTGGGCTTCTTCAGTCGAGTACAGAAAAGTTGATAGAAGCAGAAGAGATTTTGAAGACGATGTAATCACCCATCACCCTTAAAGTTTTGAGGGGGTCAGTCCCTCGTCTGGAGAAGAGCATTGTTCCAAAGTATGAAACATATTGTTTCATACTTTGGAACAATGCTCTTCTCCAGACTGAGGGACTGACCACCTCAAAACTTTAAGGGTGATGGACTGATTACATCGTCTTCAAGTCTCTTCTGCTTCTATCAACTTTTCTGTACTCGACTGAAGAAGCCTACTGTGTTGGCGAAACGTTTCGAAATAAAGATACCTAACTGTTGCATATGTGTCTTACCTAACAACTTTCTACCTTTACACACATTCCCAAACTCATCCACTAACCTTTGCAATTTTTCTTTAGAATCTCCCATAAGCACAGTATCATCAGCAAAAAGTAACTGTGTCAATTCCCATTTTGAATTTGATTCCCCAAAATTTAATCCCACCCCTCTCCTGAACACCCTAGCATTTACTTCCTTTACAACCCCATCTATAAATATATTAAACAACCATGGTGACATTACACATCCCTGTCTAAGACCTACTTTTACCGGGAAGTAGTCTCCCTCTCTTCTACACACCCTAACCTGAGCCCTCACTATCCTCAAAAAAAACCTTTACAGCTTTTAATAACTTACCACCTATTCCTATACTTGCAACATCTGCCACATTGCCCTCTATCCACTCTATCATATGCCTTTTCTAAATCCATAAATGCAATAAAAACTTCCCTAACCTTTATCTAAATACTGTTCACATTATATGCTTCAATGTAAACACTTGACTACACATCCCTACCCACTCTGAAACCTCCTTGCTCATTCCGCAATCCTACATTCTGTCTTACCTTAATTCTTTCAATTATAACCCTACCGTACACTTTTCCTGGGATTTCTCAGTAAACTTATTCCTCATAATTTTTTACAGTCTCTTTTTCCCCTTTCCCTTTATTTTAAAGGGACTATACATGCTCTCTGCCCAAACCCTAGGTACCTTCCCCCCCTTTCATACATTTAATAAACAAAAGTACCACCACTCCAACACTATAATTCCCCCCCTGCTTTTAAACAATTTCTGTCATGATCCCAGCAGTTCCAGCTGCTTTAAAACCCCCTTTCCATTCTACGTAATGCCCACGTAAACCCCCCCCACACTTACATTCTGCTCTTCTTTTACTCCTAAAAGATGGTATACCTCCCTGACCAGTGCATGAAATTACTGCCTTTCTTCCTTAACATTTAAAAGTTCCTCAAATATTCTCGCCATTTTACCTAACACCCCCCCCTCCCCATCTACAACTCCCCTACTCTGTTTTTTTAAATGACAAATCCATACTTTCCCTAGGCTTTCTTAACTTGTTTAACTCACTCCAAAATTTTTTCTTATTTTCATTTAAAAATTCTGCAGTGCCTCTCTCACTCTATCATCTGCTCTCCTTTTGCACTCTCTCCCCCACTCTCTTTACCTTTCTTTTACTCTCCATATACTCTGCTCTTCTTAAACACTTCTGCTTTGTAAAAACCTCTCATAAGCTATCTTTTTCTTTTTATCCACACACCCTTTACTTCATCATTCCACCAATCACTCCTCTTTCCTCCTGCCCCCCACCCTCCTATAACCACAAACTTCTGCCCCACATTCTAATACTGCATTTTTAAAACTATTCCAATTTTAAACTTTTTTTTTTTTTTTTTTCAACAAGTCGGTCGCCCTCCCACCAAAGGCAGGGTGACCCAAAAAAAAAAAAGAAAATCCCCAAAAAGAAAATACCTTTCATCATCATTCAACACTTTCACCACCTCACACATTATCACTTGCTTTTGCAGAGATGCCCAGAATACAACAGTTTAGAAGCATATACGTTAAAGATACACAACATATCCCCCCAAAAAGCCAATATCCCAAACCCCCTCCTTTAAAGTGCAGGCCATTGTACTTCCCATTTTCCAGACTCAAGTCCGACTATATGAAAATAACCGGTTTCCCTGAATCCCTTCACTAAATTTTACCCTGCTCACACTCCAACAGATTCGTCAGGTCCCAAGTATCATTCGTCTCCATTCACTCCTTTTCTAACACGCTCATGCACGCTTGCTGGAAGTCCAAGCCCCTCGCCCACAAACCTCCTTTACCCCCTCTTTCCAACCCTTTCGAGGACGACCCCTACCCCTCTTTCCTTCCCCTATAGATTTATATGCTTTCCATGTCATTCTACTTTGATCCACCTCAACAACCCCTCTTCTGCCCTCTGACTAATGCTTTTATTAACTCCATACCTTCTCCTAATTTCCACACTCCGAATTTTCTGCATAATATTTACACCACACATTGCCCTTAGACGGGCCCATCTCCACTGCCTCCAACCGTCCCCCCTCGCTGCTGCATTTACCACCCAAGCTTCCTTATCCTATAAGAGTGTTGGTACACTATACTTTCATACTTCCCTTCTTTGCCTCCATAGATAACGTTTTTTTGACTCCACATATACCACAACGCACCACTCCACCTTTTTTCCCTCATCAATTCTATGATTAGCCTCATCCTTCATAAATCCATCCGCCGACACGTCAACTCCCAAGTATCTGAAAACATTCACTTCTTCCATACTCCCCCCTCCCCAATTTGATATCCAATTTTTTTTTATCTAAATCATTTTATACCCTCATCACCTTACTCTTTTCTATGTTCACTTTTAACTTTCTACCTTTACACACATTCTCAAACTCAAACCACTAACCTTTGCAATTTTTCTTAGAATCTCCCATAAGCACAGTATCATCAGCAAAAAGTAACTTGTCAATCCCATTTTGAATTTGATTCCCCATAATTTAATCCTCCCCCCTCCCAACACCCTAGCATTTACTTTTTTTACAACCCCCATCTAAATATATTAAACAACCAGGTACATTACACACCCCTGTCTAATCCTACTTTACCGGGAAGTATTTTCCCTCTTTCTCCCCACCCTAACCTGAGCCTCACTATCCTCTAAAAGCCTCATTTTTAAAACTATAATATAATAATATTATATAAATATTAATTAATATTTAAATATATAATTATATATATAAAATATATTATATTTAAATTATATATATATATTTTTAAATATATATATAAATATTATAAAATTCTGGAATACAATTGGGAAATATATACCAAGGCGACCCCTCATACTTTTTCTGCATTTAAATACATAGAACATTTAACTCTGATATTAACCCCCCCCACTAACATCTTCCCAACCCAAAGAACACATCCTTTTAACAAAAGGGCACAATCACCTTTTTGTTCCTCGTGTCCATCTCACCTATGCAAAAACTCAATGCACATAAAAGGCCCTAAAACTGGAATTCATTACCCGTTTCCTGGATTTACCTGGGGGAAAAGTTTCGGGGGCAACGCCCCCCGGGCCCGGCTGTGACCAGGCCTCCTGGGGATGCGCCTGACAACCAGGCTGTTCTGGGCTGCACGCAAAAAAACGTACAGCCACAGCCCGGCAACCGGAATGACTTTTGGGGTTGTCCAGTGGCTTGAAGACTGCCAGGTCTTTGGGAATCCCCCTTATTTTGTGGGGGGCAGTTGAACAGTCTCGGGGCCCCCGACACTTTTGTATGGTCCTTAACGTCTAGTGACAAAACCCCGCTTTCATTGGGGGGGGTGCATCGTCTGCCAAGTCTTTTTTCTTTCGTAGTGATGATTTTCGTGGCAAGTTCGGGACAGTCCCTCTAGGGTTTTTTAGGGGTATTAACAGTATCCTCCCTCCTGCTTCCGGGAATACAGGTTTGAAACCCAAACCTCCCGTAATTGAGGTGTTTATCCCGTTTTTCGCGCCGGAAATTTCCTGTACTTTTCTGGGTGGGAAATTTTACCTGCCTTGAAAGGTGCTGTTAGATGCCAGCAATTTTCCCAGTAGAAAAACAAGTGACCTGAAGGTGTACAGGGGCTTGGCCTCCCTATTTGAAGGTCTCTTTATCCACCTGTCTTTTTTTCTAGCAGATGCGTTGATACAATTTTTGGTCCTTGAAGGTAGACCTCCGCATACCCCCCAGGTCTTTGATTTGGGGTTTTTTCGCTCATTTTGTGGCCGAATTTTTTTTTGTACTCGTGAAGATTTAATTTCCTATGTTTACCAATCTGAGAATTAAAATTTTTTCTCATCGTTGAATTTCAATTTTTTTCTGCAGCCCCTGAAAGATTTGGTTGATGCCGCCGGGACCTTGCAGGGCTGCAATGGAAACACTGTTTTCAGATTTGGGGGTCACTGCAAAGGAAAACACGGTGCGTGGCTGACCCTTGTCTAGTCGGATATGAGGAGAGGGGCAAGATGGGAGCTTACTGTGCCCTTTTGGAACAGAGCTTTTACCGTAGCTGCCCGGGCTTTCTCTGTTGACGACTCTCCTGTGTTCTGTAAAAATTAAAAAAAAACACTACCCCTTTATAAATTCAAGTCCTTTTCAAAGATCACTTACTCACCCCAAAAACCCAAAACAACGAATAACTGAACCCTTTTAAATTGTTTAAAACTTAAAGTTTCTCACATTAAAACCCCAAAAATTTTTAAACCCTTTAAACCCCCAATTTCTAACGTTGAAATTTTTTTAAATAACTACCAAACAGAATACCCCATTCTACTAAATAAACAAAAATGCGCAACCATATGACCTGCCCTTTGAAATACTCTTTTGTGATTATGGGTTATCTTTTTTACTTTAAATTTTTTTACATTTAAAATTTACATCATTGCTTAGTTAATCTTAATTAAATTTTTAAGCCACCCCCGTAATGCTATGCAACAAGTGGCTTTGGCATGCTGCTCTTAAAACCTGTATTTTTTTGTACCTCGTATTATGTTCAAATTTTTAAAAAAAAATAAATAAAAAAAAAAAAAATTTAAATATACAAAACCAAAACCTATACAAAATCAGGAACATTCAAAAACCACACACAACATAGGAGGTACCCCCTCTAGAACTGACTGGAGGCCCTCATCCCAAGAAGAAAAAGAGGATAAAATAATAAAAATTAATAATAATAATAATAATAAAAATTTAAAAAATAATAAATCAAATAAAAATAATAATAGCTTTTTTTTTCTTAATACTTTAAACAATATTTTCAGGCCAAACTGACATCAATGATCATCGTAGTTAATCAAAAACCTGATCGTAAAAACGATGATCATACATGATCAAAATTTCCCAAAGGGGGCCCTAAATAAATTTTTAATTTCCCTAGTCGATGGGCAAAGCGCACTCAACTCCAAAACTGGGGTTTCGTGGTTCACCCCCCCGGGTACGGGGTAAACATTAATTTGCTTTTTTAAAAACACCTCCCTGCCCCTTTTTTTCATCTAGCAAAAAAAAGGGTACCGGGGTTTGTTATTTCCAACTGGGGGGGTTTGCACCCCGGGGGGACAAAATTGATCTAATTCGTTCGAAATTTTCTGCATTTTAAGGGGGTTTTTTCTATATAGAAGTTTTCCATTGATGTCAGCTGGGCCCTGAAATTTTTTGTATATGTACTTGTAAATATAAATATTATTATTATTTTTAAATTATTATTATTATTATTATTATTATTTTTGCAGGGAAATGAAAACGCTCAGACCCCAAAAACCCAAAATTTTGTCCCCCAAAGATTTTTAATTTAAATACCATAAATTTAAAAAGGAAAGATCCTAAACTTTACCAAAACGAAACAAAGAAAAATGTGATAGTAATTAAGTACTGGGGGAATTTTGGGGGGAAAAAATGAACATTTTAATTAAAGCCCGGGGGAATTTTTACGCCCTTGGGTGAACACATTCTTGCAAAAGGTCAGAGATCAGGGCACCCAAAAAAAAAAAGTTAAAAAATTTCTAATATATAAAAAAATATTGGAACGCTTCAATCCAAAGAAAATTTAAACGAGGCAAGTATTTTTTCCCCTTACTTTTAAGGGCTGCAGTCCTTTTAAAGGGGGGTGATTTAAATGCTGGGGGAAAGGGCTCTTGGCCCAGAGTATCGGGAGAAATTCTCTTTTTTTTTCCCTTTGAAAAATTAAGCCTGTTTAAATTTGCTTTTCCCCCAAAGGGTTTTTTAATGACCCCTACGGGTTTAGTGCTTCCCTATGATTTAAAAAATAAAACTTCAGTTCACCTGCATAATAAAAAAAATACACTATTTTCGTAAACTTTTCCGGGGAGAGAGGGAACAAATTTATTATTGTTTTTTAAACTGAAATTATCCATAGGGGTTTAGTACTTGTCGGACTGAAAAGTTCCTTTCATGGAAAAACCTCAAAAAATTTTACGTTTTTTGCCCGGCCTTGTCCAACACTTTTTTATGATGGACTATGTTTTTCTCCCTTTTGTGGCAAAGGGGAAATGCCTCCCCCCCCCTTAAAAAAAAAAAAAAGATATTTTCCACTGGGGTTTTTTAAATTTATTTAAAATCTGTAACCCTTTATCCCGGCCCAAAAGGGGAAATTTCCCTTTTTGGGCAAAAAAACCCCTTTTTTAACTTAACCCCAAAAAAACTCCAATTAAACCCAAATTTTAAAAAAATTAAAAAAACCCCCGACGGGCCCCAAAATTCCAATTATACATTGATTAAAACTACTTTGAAAATAAATACCCACCCAAAACCCTTACTGCTTTTCACCCAATTGTAGCATTCCCCATACTGTAAACGCTTTTAAAATTTTCACAGTGTTAATTTCCATAATATAATTTCAAAATTTAAACCAAAGGGAACTACTGTAAATTTGGTAAAATTTTCTGTGTATAAAAATAAACAAAGATGAAAACTTTAAAATTTTTGTTTTAAAATTTTTTTTTGTATTAAGTAAATCAGTAAGCCTTTAAAAATTTAAATCTGCCCATAAAAGCCTAGGGATGATAGTGCTCTTTGCACCGCAATTTATTTTTTTCAATTTTTTTCCCCCAAAACCAATATAAAAATTCAAGGAAAAAGAAAAAGTTTATTTTAAAAGTTTCTGTGATTTATGGGTTAAATTTGGGGAAAGAAAATTTTAAATTTAAAATGTGACTGTATTGTGAAATTAAATTTGTAAAATACCATAAATTTGTTTTCTCAAACATAACTAATTTGGGTAGCTACCTTAAAAATCAGCAATGAAATAATTTTTAGGGGGTTTTAGTACAACGTTTGGGCCCTTTTCCCAAAAAAAAATATAGAGAAACTTATCTTTTTTTGCTGTTTTGTTTTAACACAGTAGGAAAAAAAAACTTAGAAGTGTCCTGCCCAATAAAATTTCCTGTTAAGGCAAAATTTTAAAAAAATGTGACGGGTTTTAAAAATTTTTTTATTGTGGGAAAATATTTTTTTAAAGGGAAATTTAAAAGTTTTAAAACCTCTACAATTGCTAATAATTAATATTAAAATTACTAGCTCCGGCAAGGGCCCGTGAAACAGATGACCTAAACCGTAGCAAAGGAGACATGTTACATGCGGGAGACAGGGGTAGCAGATGTCTAAATATAGTAAAAACCCTTCACATTAAATTTTTATTATTATCAAAAAAAAAGCGCTAAGCCAAAAGGGGTAAAAACAGCACAAAGCACAACAGTTTGGGGATCTTGATGTTGAAAAAGATTTTGCCTAAAGCGGGTTTTGAAATTCTTCAAATAAAACACAGAATGGATAGTAAAGAATCTAACTGTTGTTCGTGTCTTACCCCAATTTTTTTGGGATTTTTTACCAATTTTTTAAAAAATATCCCCCAAATGTCTAAAAAGGGGCAGATTAGCAGATACCCTATTCTCTTTTAAGGGGTTTGGGGACAAAAAACAAGTTTATAGCCCGTTGAATATTTCAAAATGCTGCAGATGTCCCGGGGTCGGCCCCGAAAAGGCGGGATCTCTTACCATCCCGCTAGTGACCGGGGCAGCAGGGTTTTTACTAGTTATGATTTAGGGGTTTCCCCTGAGAAAAGGCCCACAGTTTCCTGCCTGGTAGGGTTAAGGTAGACGGGCTTTACCTTGTCGCGCAAACGGGGGGGCGCAAACCCTTTAACTGAAAACCGTCCAGCGAGAGGAAAGTCACGGTTGAGGCAGGATATATTGAAACCTGTTTCTCCTGCATTATCACCACCGCTGTTGGTTGGATTGAACTGTTGACAGTCGTAGTACCACCACCCGCCACCACGGAGGGCAGCACAATTTCCTGCGGTGCAAAATTAAATTGTTTATAATTTACATTCATCGAAGCTGAACTGACATAAAAGCAGCGTTTTCGATAAAAGGGTATGTATATATACTTCGCGAAAATGACATAAGGCTTCACGGAAATATCTTATCTCAAGGAAACTGTATCATACCTCTAGGAAATGATATACTTTAGGGAAATGATACATGTACCTTACAAAAGTGATACACCTCAAGAAAAATATACCTCGCAGAAATTATATCATACCTCATGAAAATTGTATCATACTACACGGAAATGATATATTTCACGGAAATGCTACACTTTAATGTCCAACCTCAGACCTGGTATCATATCATGTTATCTATCATTTCTTTATTACGAAACAACTGAAATATAGTTATTGCAGTCTTCTGGCTTTGAGATGAATTACGATGAGCAGCTTGTAAAATGAAAATTAATAAAAAAATTAGACAATGTACTCACCTGAGTAAACGTCCTCATCCACGTCGTAGGTGGAGAAGGAGCGTCCATTGGCGTATGTGAGGCAGTTGCTGAGGGAGGTATCACAAGCAGTTAGGTTGTTGTTATTGGCATGTGCACAAGGCACTGAAGTACTATTTATTCATGGCAATTTCCGGCACAAACCTGGAGGCCTAGTTCACAGGTTACACAATAAATATCTAGAAAAGTTAAAATTTTCCTAGTATAATGGGCACTGAATAAGCAAGGTGAGTGGACTGACAGTTTGTTCATCAACCTCCATCTCACTCCATACCCGTACTGGTTATTTTAACTTGGTATAACAGTATTTTATTTGCGTTGTGTGATGCAGTGTTTCACTGTTAATTTTCTCCTTATTTTCGAGTGTTAGATATAGTTTTGACGGTCACGGTACTCTTCAAATTCCAAAACTATCTACCCCCATCTCCAGTGACTGTAGTTGCGTGCTAACTCCTGGCCAACTGCTCATTCTGCTTCCAGTGGGATGACAGTTTGCATACCAGGTGCTTGCCCCCACTTAGTCGGCAACAACAACAAAAGAATCCACGGTAATACTCCTGTATTTTTTCAATTAATATCGTCATACCCCGGGTTCACTGGGCCTGTTTTTTATCCCATGAAGTCCATCAAACGTTATTGGACTGTTGGGGTGTTGATTTTAAAGATGTAGTGGTAACAGATTCATGCAGATTACCATACAACCAAGATTACCATGCTGACTAGCAACTACCACACCACAGGGCCACAACCACATAAACAACTAAAACACAAACTACCACACAATAACTATCGCACCACAACTACCACACCACAAGTACCAACTCACAACTACCCCACCACAACAGCTACTGCATCTGAAAACCACCACCACACCTACTACATCACAAAAACAACTACAGCACCACAGCAACACAAGCTACACCAAAATACCAGATACCATAGCACACCATAACTACCACCACATCACACTCATACAAGCTACTACAACATCAAAACCACACGAACAACTACCACACCACACGAACAACTACCATACCACAAGAACAACTACCACATCAGAAAAACAAGTGCTACACCAACAACTATAACCAGCAACAACCGAGATATCACAACCTTACCAACTACCCCATCACAACCACACAGGACACAAGAACGAACACCATCAGGCTTATTGGTCCATGCTAGGTAGGTCCAACTCTCACTCTCTCAATTATCCGTTCAACCTATAGCTAAGATTACCAAAAGTTCTTGTCTCAATGATACTACCTTGGAGTTTCACTCATCCAACATAAACTACAACACAATCAAACAACTACTACACAGCTACAAAAAGCCAACAACGACATCTACGCAATGGCTACCACACAAGGACAACTGCACAAACAACACCTACCCAAATAACAAGTCCCTCACCTGGACATAGTATCATCAAGGGTGCTGAAGGTGCGCCACGTCAAACGATATCTTGGGAAAAATCAGCATTTCTGTTATCGTAGAATATCTAGGCATGTTAATACTTATGATGTGGAGGGGAGAGGTGCTTTGATTCTCAGGAACGGTTATTGATACAAGGAATAGGAGCTACCGTCCCCTTAGTTGGATCGAACCTGATGACCTCTCATTCCCCATGGAATTAGAGGTCATCAGTCCCCTGGAACTGTATGGTACTTTAGGGCTTAGTTCTTCCGATTAATAATAATGATAATACTAATAATAGTATGCCACAAGCCTAATGTTTCTCAGCACTAGATAGGATAGTCACTTGTATTTCTAGGGTAAATACTGACAACTAGACTGGATATTTTCATTACTAAGGAAAATATATCGTAGTTTTACATTTGGTGTTATGTGCATATCCACTGTGGCATATATATATATATATATATATATATATATATATATATATATATATATATATATATATTTTTTTTTTTTTTTTTTTTTTTTTTTTTCAACAAGTCGGCCGTCTCCCACCGAGGCAGGGTGACCCAAAAAAGAAAGAAAATCCCCAAAAAGAAAATACTTTCATCATCATTCAACACTTTCACCCCCTCGCACATTATCACTGTTTTGCAGAGGTGCTCAGAATACAACAGTCTAGAAGCATAAACATATAAAGATACACAACATATCCCTCCAAACTGCCAATATCCCAAACCCCTCCTTTAAAGTGCAGGCATTGTACTTCCCTTTCCAGGACTCAAGCCCCGACTATATGAAAATAACCGGTTTCCCTGAATCCCTTCACTAAATTTTACCCTGCTCACACTCCAACAGATCGCAGGTCCCAAGTACCATTCGTCTCCATTCACTCCTATCTAACACGCCACGCACGCTTGCGGGAAGTCCAAGCCCCTTACCCACAAAACTCCTTTACCCCCTCTCCCAACCCTTTCGAGGAAACGACCCCTACCCCGCCTTCCTTCCCCTATAGATTTATATGCTTTCCATGTCTTTCCCTACTGTGATCCATTCTCTCAAAATGACCAACCACCTCACAACCCCTCTTCTGCCCTCTGACTAATACTTTTATTAACTCCAACACCTTCTCCAATTTTTCCACATTTCCGAATTTTCTGCATAATATTTAACCACACATTGCCCTTAAACAGGACATCTCCGCTGCCTCCAACCGTCTCCTCGCTGCTGCATTTACCACCCAAGTTTTCACACCCATATAAGAGTGTTGGTACTACTATACTTTCATACATTTCCCTTCTTTGCCTCCATAGATAACGTTTTTTGACTCCACATAAACCTCAACGCACCACTCCCCCTTTTTTCCCTCATCAATTCTATGATTAACCTCATCCTTCATAAACCATCCGCCGACACGTCAACTCCAAGTATCTGAAAACATTCATTCTTCCATACTCCCTTTCCTTTCCCCCCTTTGATATCCAATTTTTCTTTATCTAATCATTTGACCCCCTCATCACCTTACTCTTTTCTATGTTCACTTTCAACTTTCTACCTTTTCACACATTCCCAAACTCATCCCCTAACCTTTGCAATTTTTCTTTAGAATCTCCCATAAGCACAGTATCATCAGCAAAAAGTAACTGTGTCAATTCCCATTTTGAATTTGATTCCCCATAATTTAATCCCACCCCTCTCCCAAACACCCTAGCATTTATCTTCCTTTACAACCCCATCTATAAAATATTAAACAACCATGGTGACATTACACATCCCTGTCTAAGACCTACTTTTACCGGAAGTAGTCTCCCTCTCTTCTAACACCCTAACCTGAGCCTCACTATCCTCATAAAAACTCTTTTACAGCATTTAATAACTTACCACCTATTCCATATACTTGCAACATCTGCCACATTGCTCCTCTATCCACTCTATCATATGCCTTTTCTAAATCCATAAATGCAATAAAAACTTCCCTATCTTTATCTAAATACTGTTCACTATATGCTTCAATGTAAACACCTGATCTACACATCCCCTACCCACTCTAAAACCTCCTTGCTCATCCGCAATCCTACATTCTGTCTTACCTCTAATTCTTTCAATTATAACCCTACCGTACACTTTTCCTGGTATACTCAGTAAGCTTATTCCTCTATAATTTTACAGTCTCTTTTGTCCCCTTCCCTTTATATAAAGGGACTATACATGCTCTCTGCCAATCCCTAGGTACCTTCCCTCTTTCATACATTTATTAAACAAAATACCAACCACATCCAACACTATATCCCCCCCTGCTTTTAACATTTCTGTCATGATCCCATCAAGTTCCAGCTGCTATTAACCCCCTTTCATTTTACGTAATGCCTCACGTACCCCCCCACACTTACATTCTGCTCTTCTTCACTCCTAAAAGATGGTATACCTCCCTGACCAGTGCATGAAATTACTGCCTCTGTTTCTTCCTTAACATTTAAAAGTTCCTCAAAATATTCTCGCCATCTACCCAATACCTCCATCTCCCCATCTACTAACTCCCCTACTCTGTTTTTAACTGACAAATCCATATTTTCCCTAGGCTTTCTTAACTTGTTTAACTCACTCCAAAATTTTTTTTTTTTCATTAAAATTTCTTGACAGTGCCTCTCCCACTCTATCATCTGCTCTCCTTTTGCACTCTCTCACCACTCTCTTTACCTTCTTTTACTCTCCATATACTCTGCTCTTCTTATAACACTTCTGCTTTGTTAAAAACCTCTCATAAGCTACCTTTTTCTCTTTTATCACACCCTTTACTTCATCATTCCACCAATCACTCCTCTTTCCCTCCTGCCCCCACCCTCCTATAACCACAACTTCTGCCCCACATTCTAATACTGCATTTTTAAAACTATTCCAACCCTCTTCAACCCCCCCACTACTCATCTTTGCATCTAGCCCACCTTTCTGCCAATAGTCGCTTATATCTCACCCGAACTTCCTCCTCCCTTAGTTTATACACTTTCACTTCCCTCTTACTTGTTGTTGCCACCTTCCTCTTTTCCCATCTACCTCTTACTCTAACTGTAGCTACAACTAAATAATGATCCGATATATCAGTTGCCCCTCTATAAACTGTACATCCTGGAGCCTACCCATCAACCTTTTATCCACCAATACATAATCTAATAAACTACTTTCATTACGTGCTACATCATACCTTGTATATTTATTTATCCTCTTTTTCATAAAATATGTATTACTTATTACCAAATTTTCTTTCTACACATAGCTCAATTAAAGGCTCCCCATTTACATTTACCCCTGGCACCCCAAATTTACTACTACTCCCTCCATAACATTTTTACCCACTTTAGCATTAAAATCCCCAACCACCATATACTCTCACACTTGATTCAAAACTCCCACGCATTCACTCACATTTCCCAAAATCTCTCTCTCTCCTCTACACTTCTCTCTTCTCCAGGTGCATACACGCTTATTATAACCCACTTTTCACATCCAATCTTTATTTTACTCCACATAATCCTTGAATTAATACATTTATAGTCCCTCTTTTCCTGCCATAGCTTATCCTTCAACATTATTGCTACTCCTTCTTTAGCTCTAACTCTATTTGAAACCCCTGACCTAATCCCATTTATTCCTCTCCCACTGAAACTCTCCCTCCCCCTTCAGCTTTGTTTCACTTAAAGCCAGGACATCCAGCTTCTTCTCATTCATAACATCCACAATCATCTCTTTCTTATCATCTGCACAACATCCACGCACATTCAGACTTCCCACTTTGACAATTTTCTTCTTCTTATTCTTTTTAGTAATCTTTACAGGAAAAGGGTTACTAGCCCATTGTTCCCGGCATTTTAGTTGACTTTTACAACACGCATGGCTTACGGAGGAAAGATTCTTATTCCACTTCCCCATGGATATAAAAGGAAAATTAATAAGACCAAGAACTATTAAGATAAAATCAAAGAAAAACTCAGATGAGTGTGTATAAATAAATGTGTACATGTATGTGTAGTGTGACCTAAGTGTAAGTAGAAGTAGCAAGACATGCCTGTAATCTTGCATATTTATGAGACAGACAAAAGACATCAGCAATCCTACCATCATGTAAAACAATCACAGCTTCGTTTTAACACTCACTTGGCAGGACGGTAGTACCTCCCTGGGTGGTTGCTGTCTACCAACCTACTACCTAGATATATATATATATATATATATATATATAATATATATATATATATATATATATATATATTATATTATATATATATATATATATATATATATATATATATATATATATATAGTGTGTGTTGTGTTTGCGTTTGTAAGCAAAATATATGAAATAAAATATACTAACTATAGCTTAATTGCATATGCAGGAAACATAGATGTTCTTGAAATACATAAAAACCTGATTTATCCAGGAAACATATATGTTATGGAAATAATAACAATATAAACCAGGTATTTGTTTAAGTTTGGACACGCTTGTTAAATGCTATTTATAGATGCACGAAGAGTGACACGCTGGCAGAACAGTTAAGCAGGTGGAGTTGCGATATGACAGGAAAAGATGCATAGAAGCATTGAAAAGGATAGGAAAGCTGGAGTAGCAAACAGTTGATCTTAGATGTGATATAGCGTCTGCACTTCCTGCAAGTTGTACACACTTACCCGGTGTCCTCTGATCCGATTCTGAAGTTCTGCCAGATGTTGTAAACAGGAATGTTATTGCTGAGAAGAAGATCGAGCCTTAAGTTGTATTTCCGGCTGGAGGTTATAGCGTGCAAGGCTTCCAACCCTGTTAAAGTTTCTTTCTCTTAATTATGGTTTCTCCCATGCAATATATATGTCGTACCGAATAGGTAAAACTTGCGATTTTGGCTTAAATAGCAACGCTCTTCTTGTAATAAAGTTGGTAGAATTACCGACAATATGTAAAGTAAAAGGACACAAGTGCAACTAATGTGACATTTATTGTGGCAACGTTTCGCTCTCCAGGAGCTTTATCAAGCCATTACAAACAATACATGGACACAGAGGGTATATAAAGGCTCAGAGTGAGGTGAATACTAGTGAGGTACCATTTCGATGTTCACTAGTGGTAGTAGTAGTAGTAGTAGTAGTAGTAGTGGTAGTGACAAAAGTAATACAATATGGTAGAGCAATTAATTCGTACATGAGTAAAAGGATATAAAAGCTATTACTTGGGTAACATAAAAATAGGTTGGACAAATATAGACTGGAATGAGGCAGGTTGTTTCAGTGTTCACTCTCATATACATGGAACACCTAGAGTCCGAACACTTCGCCAACATCATCCCTTCAAGCGTCACTTGGTTACGTTACGTGGACGATGTCCTCGTAATAACTCCAAAACGTTTTGATGTACGGGATCTTCAGGCAAGGCTCAACGCAGTTGAACCAGCGATTCAGTTTACACTAGAAGAAGAGTCCAATGACAAGCTACCTTTCCTCGACGTCCTCATTCACAAAGTAGACAACAACCTAAGATTTCAAGTTTATCGGAAACCCACCAATAAAAATGATCTCACACACTTCTATTCCAGTCAAGATACCAAGACCAAAAGAGGCATCATCATCGGGTTTTTCCTAAGAGCATACCGAATTTGTAGTCCTGAGTTTTCTTGACGAGGAATGTACTTACATTCACCAAACATTCACTGAGTTACAATTTCCTTCTTTTTTCATCAAAGACTGCAAGAAAAGAGCTCTTCAGATCATCAATTCTCCACGCATCAACACCGCTCCCAACAAAGTCATAATTCTTCCCAACAGCCAGGTTGCACTAAACGTCTCAAAAGTACTTTCACAAGCTAACACCAGAGTCGCCATCGCTTTCTTCCACTTCAATAAAGGATCTAACCAGGACAAAACCCAAGCACCACGAACCAGTCAATGCAGGAGTTTACACTATACCCTGTGGAGGCTGTGACAAGATCTACGTAGGTGAAACAGCAAGAAACCTCGACACCCGCCTCAATGAACACATATACGCATGTAGGAACGACAACTTAAACAACGCCTGTGTACAACACCGAAATTCCACCAATCATCTTATGAAATTCAGAGACGCCCAATTAGTGATAAAAGAAACTAATTTCCGCACACGCAAGTGCCTTGAATCAGCACTGATCGCTGTTTCGAATACAATTAAACAAAACAACGGCAGCTTCACCATCTCCGAAGTCTTAGCAAGAATCCTCCTGAAAACAGTAAACCCTGCCATCACATAGTCTCTCCTGTTATACTACACAAAGCACAGAGAGTGAACACTGAAACAACCTGCCTCATTCCAGTCTATATTTGTCCAACCTATTTTTATGTTACCCAAGTAATAGCTTTTATATCCTTTTACTCATGTACGAATTAATTGCTCTACCATATTGTATTACTTTTGTCACTACCACTACTACTACTACTACTACTACTACTACCACTAGTGAACATCGAAATGGTACCTCACTAGTATTCACCTCACTCTGAGCCTTTATATACCCTCTGTGTCCATGTATTGTTTGTAATGGCTTGATAAAGCTCCTGGAGAGCGAAACGTTGCCACAATAAATGTCACATTAGTTGCACTTGTGTCCTTTTACTTTACAACGCTCTTCTTGCCGAATAAGGCAAGCGAAAATTTGTGTATGCAATGATTTCGCAAAAATCATTCTGAACCTAACAAAAAAATATAATTCAGTGTGTTTGTTTATTAATAAATTATTGTAAACTTGTCTAAAATATATTTAGTTGGATTAGGCTAAATTAAATTGCGCTTGTTATAATAAGGTTAGGTAAGTTTTTCAAGGTCCTTTTGGTACAAAATTATTAATTTTTACAATTAGCATAAATGAAAAACATATATCTTTAAACGTATAAGAGGAAATTTTAGAAAGGACTTAATTTTAAATGAGTTCTTGCTAATTGACCAGTTTTACCTATTTGGACTAGTGTGGTCTATTTCTCTCCCGACTTCCTCAGACTGCTACATACCGAGCCAATACTCTTCGGAACGGTCGCCAAACCCTTTCTTGTATTGAGCCCACGACCGATTGAAGTCTTCCCGTGGGTTCTCTGCTTGTCTGCTTAGGAATACTGTCCATCCTCCGCCGTCCGTCTCCATGTCGCACCACACCTGCACCTTGTTCTACATTTGCATCTGTTAAAATAAAAGAACAGGTGTACTTGTTTCGAAAGTTCTCTTACTTCAACATGTTATTTTTTTTGGCCTTGAGTGCAGCTGCTTTATTGTGCTCTCTAAATTGTTAGTCTTTCTAATGTGATTATTCCTAGGTTTTTCATAATGTTTCTGAGATTGTGTCATAGGTCCTACTAGCTGCAACAGGTAGGATCTTCCTTTTCTAAAGCTATATATAATTATCTTCCCTTAGACTATAATAATAATAACACCACGAAAAAGGGGTAGATATCGTACACTCCGCTGCGTTCAGCTCCCATCACCATCAAGTCTGCACGGGTCCACTGGCCTGTAAACAAAGTCCTGGGTTTTTTTATTTACTTTAATCGTGTGTTTGACATATTGAGTGAGAATTGTGTCACAGATAAGAGGCTGCTGAGCATCAATTAGATCTGCTGCAGTGGCTCGTTTGTCATATTTTGGTTTCAGAGCCATGTTTACCTTAATGATATTCAAGGATAGCACTACATACAAGGTTGTAGCCACTGCATGTTCCACAATATTAGGGTGTGAATTATTGTGCAACCTGAAATACGAGGTTATAAGCTACTGTAGCTGTATATGCTACACAATTTTAAACAAATGTTCATGGAGACTGCAAGCTTGTAGTTACTTGACGCGATACAAGGTTAAGCTACAGTAGTTGATAAAACTTTACAACACCTTGCACTTAGGTCCCTGGTGTCACGCGCCCACCGCACTCCATTCGCCATGTTACTGTTGATAAATTGAGTTGACTTTAATCTCCCCTCCAGCTTCGAATTCTGCCGCTGCTGGAAGGCGACCCGTTCTTGACTGCTGTCGCGTAACTAAGAATGTCTCGTACTTCCCTGCTCCATTCGGGGGTCCATGGATGTTGCTGCTGCCGTCGACGAAATCACCTTTGGGTTTTTAAGGAGACGACCAGACTCTCATTTCTTGTCCTGTAAACCGTCCCTGGCAAACACACAAAAATATATAGGTGAGTACACTAAGTATAGCTGCAAATATTAATCGGAAAAAATTTGGACAATCAATGCAAGATGGAATAAAAATAGTAATAATAATAATAATAATGTAATGTAACTTCGAAAAAACCGTACTTTATTTTACCTTCGATAGTGAAATGTCTAGAGGGAGATCGAACCGTAGACGATCCAAGTGACCACGCCCACCTCTAAGACACACGGCCCACACAGCTCTCATTACGCCCACGCAGAGCCTTAGAGGTAGTGTACAGGTATCATAAGTTTTATTCCAGAGAATAAATAATAAAACAATATAATTATCGAAAAATTGCCCTGTACTTCGACGATAAAAGCACATCGGTGGACATACGGCACACCCTCGTTTTTTATAAAGATCCAATACGAATACGAACTATGGATTATTTTTAATGATAATGTCTGTCGCCAATTTTCTTTTAAAAAATTTCATCACGAGACTGGAAGAAGTAACACCGAATGTCATGACATTTGGGGCAGTCCCGAATTCGGTTCATGTACGATCCTATTTCTTTCCCTACTACCTTAATGTATATTATTAATAAATGATATCAACCCCTACAGAAATATACTGTACCGCCCCCATTTCCTAAGCAATCAAGTTATTTCTCCAGAGTAAATCTTTGTTTTTGTAAGCTCTTGTCTTAATGTATGTACCTGTAAAATGTTCTAAAATATTGAGCAAAAAGTTAAAAATTACTCACCCACAAATCGTGTAAGTCACTGAATTTCACAATGCTAAGTGATTATTAAACAAGTCTCTGAATTTTTGTGCAAGAATGGTATATAATACCGACAAGATGAAATTAAGACACATGTGCAACATCTGGGGATCTTTATGTAGTCCCCACTGTCTTCTAGCTATGTTCTAGAATTTGTAAATTTATAAAGCCACTGGATGCGAAACGTCTACAATAAAGATACCCAGATGTTGCACATGTGTCTTAATTTCATCAAGTCTCTGAATGGCTGGGTTTGAACCCCTGCCAGGTGAGTCAACTCATAAACCAGTGCAATCGTGTTATTAAGATTCCGTAGTAATCATTAAACAACCCGCATAAAATTAATGAATTAAACATATTGAAACTCTATATAGATAATGGAGCAACTTAATATTAGTACGAAATGTCAAGCTGGCACGGTAAAATTGTATTGGTTTTACCGTAGAGATCAAAGAGTGATTTCTTGGGGCCCAATGTGTTTTTTCGAATCTTGATAAATTTGACACATGTGCAACTCTTGGGTATCTTTATTGAGGAAACGTCCATCAATCTTGAATAGAATAGAATTCTATTCAAGATTGATGGACTGACCACATCGACTCAAGGTTGAGGGACTGATTACCTCATTCTCCTCCTGTTCTTCACGTTTCTCCTTTGTATGGACTGATGAAGCCACTGTGTGGCGAAACGTTTCCTCAATAAAGATACCCAAGAGTTGCACATGTGTCTAATTTATCAACGTGTCGGTTCTCTGAACCATTCATCTTGTTCGAATCTTACAGCTTCCTTCCCTCAAGCTAGCAACGCTTGAACGAATTATCAAGATACGAACACGGACTGTCAAGATGACAAGTACATGAGTTGTCAAGCAGACAAACGAAACATAAATTGTCAAGACGTTTAAAAAAAAATTAGTGAAAATCGTCAGTATGGAAAGACGTGCACAACCTAAGCTAGTAAGAGTGTGACTAACCTGCAGGAACTACGAGCACATCTTCAAAGGGACGAGTTTTTATCCATGTAGTGTCGTAGGTGGTTGTCATGCGTCAGCGTATATTTTCAAACATTTTCAAAATGTGAGTTACTAAGCTCTCTACTGTTGATAAACCTTCAAGTCATGCCTGGCGCTCATGAATTTCGCAACGCTTAAATATGTTCAGACTCGTGTGTCATATGGTTTCGGGTAGTAACACGATAATTTGCATACATTGCATGTGATACGGCTTTTGATTAACAATAAACAAAACACCTGTATATCTGAATCGTTGACCCAAACGAAAACGGTGACAGCCGAGATTATTATTATGGACGTCTCTGTGCCCTGACAGTGTGATCTCTTGTGCCCTGACGGTGGGATCTCTTGTTCACTGCCCTGGCAGTGTGAACTCTTGTTCATTGCCTTGCAAGTGTGAACTCTTGTTTACTGCGCTGGAAGTGTGAACTCTTGTTCACTGCTCTGGAAGTGTGAACTCTTGTTTACTGCCCTGGAAGTGTGAACTCTTGTTCACTGCTCTGGAAGTGTGAACTCTTGTTCACTGCCCTGGAAGTGTGAACTCTTGTTCACTGCCCTAGAAGTATGAACTCTTGCTCATTGCCTTGTAAGTGTGAACTACTGTTCCCTGCCCTGTATGTGTGAATGCTCGCTCGCCTGGAAGTGAAGAAAATTCTGGAAGACAAGACAGCGCGAGTAGAGAAGTGTTAGCCACGTTTATAGTTAAGACTGAACGAGTATGAGCAATCATAAGATAACTGTAAGTGAGCATTAGTGATCCCTAAACCAGTGAAATATTTTAGGACACTTCTAGGGAGTGGTTCTCTTGTATTATGTGGGAGTTAAACCTGGCTCTAGTAATCCAGCAGATATTTGACCAGTTAACGTGTCGTTATCTGTCAAAGACAGACACTTGGTTTGTTTTCTAACCAACAAAATAAACCGCCACCACCAGCAGCGAGACTTAAATTTTAATCAGCGAATTACGCATGTAAAATGCAATAGATCATTCATAATGGATGTGGTATTTACCGAATAGGAAGAAGGTAATTCAAATATAAGTTATTTTGATCACTTGGAGAAGGTAATCAAGCATCACTTGTAGTAACATATATAAGATGTAATTAAATAAAAAAAATGGCAAAATTGAACTTGATAAAATGGACAATAGAAGCCAATTAAGTGAACCAAAAAAATACTTTAAAGAGGTAACCTAGTGTAGATTAAACTCTTAAATAAGTTATAAAAATAAAATATAAGATTTTATCATTTTAACAGTGTATATAATATTATTATAAACCATGATATTCCGAGTTAAAAACATAGATAAAATTAAATGATTCGGTAATAAATATTAAAAAGCAATGGTAAGGAAAGAATGAGCTTAAAATCAATATAGAAAGTTGACTAATCCACAAACATACAATACATTTAACAAAGTTTAATATGAGTATGGTGCTCTTTCCTGCACTGATCTAAATTTTGATGTCTTCCATTGCGCTGGAATTCGAGTGGATGGTAACAATTGGTCTCTACAATAGCGATTATTACCCCATTTTGCTCACATTCCCACCCTCCTGGCTGCTCTTGATTCCTGTTTCAATGTGCACATTAGACACTTTATACATGTCACACCACTCTTCCTATTACTTTCCTGACACCATCTCCATAAATAAATTGTTGGAATAACAGACTTGGTTGATATTCCGTGGACGAAGGATAAACATTTTCTCAAATCTGTACCCTGGTTATCTCCCAACTGTGCTGAGTCAAGCTATTTGTCTGAAGTGTGTTGCAAGAAGCCACTACCGACATTTAATATAGATCGTGTATATCAATGGTATATAATACCGACAAGATGATGAATTAGGTGTGAAACATGGGGGATCTTTATCCTGTAGACGTTTCGCCATCCAGGGGCTTTATCAATACATCTACCTCTTCAGTCTTCTGTATGTACTGATACAGCCCCTGGATGGCGAAACGCCTACAGAATGAAGATCTTAAGGTGTTGCATACGTATCTATTCATCATACAGATCGATATTTTGTTGTCTCGGGTCCATTCCCTTAAACGGTGATGCTGGCGAAGGACTTTTGATCCCAGGAATTAAAATTACCTTCTTGAATCAAACCTCATTACCTCCCATTCCCCAGGCGCAGTCCCCGGTGGGTTTAACATTTCTCCACAGACAAAATAACAGCATTCGTTTCCGTGTGATGTTTGAATTCATGGAATCAGAAGATACATCTCACCAGTGGAATAATAATGGTTATGAGGCGAGGACCAGGAGCTGGAGCTCGATCCCATTAACACAGGCGACTGCACACGCAACCAATTCACTAAACATTTACTTTTCATTTGTACACACCCAGGTGCACATTGCTGCCACCAAGTCTTATTTACCAAACAATGTCCACTAGGTTGTGTATATACATTTGCAGAACAATTTACAAATATTAGCTGGAGTGAGAGAAGGCGGTGTTTGTACCAACAGGGCTGAATATTTTTTACCGGCGTCTTTTTCTAATTCTCTCTTAATTTTTCATGTTTTACTTCAGCTTCTCTTATTTGAATTCTAAGTACGTATTAGTGAAGAATAAAAAGGTGCAATACCGTGACAAGTTAATGATCTAAACCGGACCGAAATGTCATGAGTTTCATTCTCTCATGGACAGGTTATTTGTGAAATAATAATAATAATAATAATAATAATAATAATAATAATAATAATAATAATAATAATAGTGCCTCTAGAGACTGATTTTTTTTAGGTAAGTGCACGTAGTATACTTGTATTTTACCTGGATGTACTTACAAAGCATGATGTGTCTTCTAGTAAGCCCACTCATAATGTAAATATCTCGAATTTGGTTTTAAATAAGGATGATATACTAAATTACCGATTGAAAAACGTAAGTTGAGGCTACCATTGTCAAATATATGCAAATATACCAGTTTATAAGCTCGGATCTTGAGGAAATGATGAGGCTTTTATTTAAGTGTAACTAAATCGTTAATAACGACAAAGTCAACAAAGCTTATAAAAATTTGGGATGCATGAATTAATTTTGAGTTAGCACTAAAATAGAATACCATGCTTATCTAAAACACTTCAGAGCTGAATCCATTAACTAAATAAACTTCGCCTTCAAAACTCACTAAATGGCCATAACTATAACCATAATTTTTAAAGGGGTGGACCGGCAAGCCAGCGGAAGGCCTCGGTCAGATGACCAGAAGCTCCAATGGCGGATCAACATCTGCCTAAGACCCGCATCATGAAACACTTGTCCTGTTTCCTGACGAACCTTAACTAACCTTCATCTTCAAAAAAAAAAAAAATGCGTTGTACTTTAATCACTATACTCTCTGCGGGGGGAGCAGGGGGAATACATTATGGTTTGCACGAAGGAGCAACTTTTTTTTTGTGTGTATATCTCGTGCGGGCGTAGAGGAAGGGGTTTCCTTCTGAAAGGGATATCTTATATGTTGTTCATACTGGGATGAAAGTTTTTTATGGTAGGGGGGGGGGAGGGGGGGGGGGGATGGGGGGGGGGGGGGGGGGCCGGGGGGGGGGTGGGGGGGTCTGCAGTGTTTTTATTTACATACAATAATTTGAGATTGCTTCTTCTGATAGACTCAAACTTTTACCGATGTTATATCTTATTAAAACTCGCTACACCTAAGGTGGTTGCCGTAGATAAGCGCAGAATAAAACTTGTATATGAGACGGCGTTTCGCCTTGTAATAAGCTTTTTAAATGCAAAATAACGAAAGATATACATGTATTTGTGCACGCCTAGTCAGGTGCGAGCAGGCGAGTGGTCTGGGAAGTGACATCATGACAGTGAGCAGTGAGCAGCCAGGAAGGACTTGTGAAGGTCTACTCATTGTTTTGTGAGCATGTGAATCATCAGTTTTTGTTTTTGTGGGGCTAAAGGTTTTGCTAAACTGAGAGGTTCCTGAGTCTGCTGAATGAGTATGTTGCCTGCAGATTAGGGTAGCTTTTAGGCATCTGCCTCGTGTGTTGTCATTCTTTGATCACTAGCTGGGCGTCTTTCCAGGATATCAGTGGTGTTGCCTTATTATTGTGTACAACACAGGCATGGAACGCATATTTGTAGACTCGTAGGCATACGAGTATATGCCTATATATACAAGCATTGCTGGTGTGTTAAGCTTGCTTGCTATTGTTCCTGTATCCTGGTTGTCACGTGAAAATTTTGCGAGGTATTTCGTTCAAAAGCACTTATAAATTGAATTATTATTATAATCACAGTGAAGCATAAAGCCGCATGGGTGATAGTGTCTGGGAATGGGAGGCAATAGAGTTCAACCCAGGAAGGGGAGAATAGGTTCATTTCCTTGGATCAAGAGTCAGCGCTGTATAGCCCTTGTGGTTTACCGCTTCTTTTTCATTATAATAATAATTGGATCAAGAGCCCCTCGCCGGCTTCAGGGTACCTCCAGTGATGTGAATAAATATTGAAAGGCCTGAGAATGTTTAACAAGCTACCTAAAACGGGAATAGTTCCATATTATTATTAGTAGTATACTCATGGGGAGCGCTAAACCTGTAGGAGTCATACAGCATTCGATTCAAGTAACTGGAGCACAGGTTCATTTCCTTAGATTAAGAGTTCACCAGGATCAAGGAACCTCCATTAAGGGTAGCAGTAGTAATATACTCATGGGGGAGCGTTAAACCCGCAGGATATACAGCGTTCCGCAAGAGCAGAAACGTACAAATGTCACACCAAAATTTTGAGATGAAAATAATGTGCTTCTTGTGAATTGCCGACCAAATCATTTTAACTTCACTAATGGTGAACTCATGTAAATAATCATCTGAGATCAAATATTGCGACTGTGAAATATCATTTATTAAAAACTTGAAACATATTGATTTCGTTTATCATATTTTTAGTTTGTAGTTATGATACAACTTACATTGATTTAAAAAAAAATATGTTCCTCTCATTTTTTCTAAAGTAAGGGTATATAGAATAAGATGTACAGTATTATAAGTATTGTGATAATTGATTATTTGGATATAAACAATAGAGTTCATAACGGAAGTGCATCGGTATAACTTAATTATTGGCAATACCAGTGCTGTCTTGGAGTCAGTTTATATTCTAGTAAAGCAAATTTCCAATTAGTTCTGCTGCTCAAAAAACATAAAACTGCCAGTGATAACAAAACTAGGAACACTGAAGTAATGTGTCCCATTTGTGGGGCGAGGAATAACAAGTAACCAAATGGGCAAGATAAAACAGATTGGTTGTAGAGTTAAGTAAGGGCAGGGCCAACAGTTGACCCTGGCTGTGGTGGAGGGACAGGTGCAGCAGATGTCCCTAGCTGTTGTGGAGGTACAGGTGCAGCAGTTGACCCTGGCTGTGGAGGAACAGGTGCAGCAGTTGACCCTGGCTGTGGAGGAACAGGTGCAGCAGTTATCCCTAGCTGTGAAGAGACAGGAGCAGGCAGGTTTCCCTGGCTGTGTGAAGGTACAAGGTGGTCAGCAGTCGGGGCTAACTGTGGGGAAGGGGCAGGTGCCACAGTTTGGGGCTAAACTACTGTGGGGAAGGGGCAGGTGCAGCAGTTGGGGCTAACTGTGGGGAAGGGGCAGGTGCAGCAGTTGGGGCTAACTGTGGGGAAGGGGCAGGCGCAGCAGTTAGGGCTAACTGTGGGGAAGGGGCAGGTGCAGCAGTTGGTTCTAACTGTGGGGAAGGGTGCTAGCGCGCAGTTAGGGCTAAACTGTTGAGGTGGTCAGGTGCGATAGCATTGCACATCCTGACTGTTCGGGAGGGGCAGTAGTATCCTCGGAAGTGTAGCCACAGGTTTCTTCTGGATAGTTGAGGTAGACGGACTTGATATTGTCGCTGCAGACGACGGGGCGTACCTTGAGCTGGAGACCATCCAGGGAGATGAAGTCGTGGTTGAGACACGATATGTTAATGTCATTTTTTCCTTCCAAGTGCTGGCCGCTGTTGGTGGGGTTGAACTGTTGACAGTCGTAGTACCACCACCCTCCACCTCGTTGCGCTGCACAGTTACCTGCAGGGGTGTGAAATTGTTAATAATCAATTAGCATCGAAGGTTAGTTGACTATGAAGTGAATCAGGCATATATAAACGTCTGGTACATGAACGGGCTGATATAGAGGCTTTTATTATTATACCGTGAGACTAGCCTAAACCTTCGAACTAGGATCATATCTTAGGCTAGGTATCACTTTGGGGTTGGCATCATACTCTGGGGCTGGTTGCATACCTCTGGGCTAGTATCATACATCAGAGATTGTATCAACCATCAGGGCAGGTATATTTCAGGGCTGATATACTTAGGGGCTGGTATAATACACCGGATGTGGAAGAAATTCATCTCTATAAATGTAGTGAACAGAAATTTTTGTACATGCTATCTTTGGCATGAATGTAGACTTGACCACCAGCTCACATCCTATGGCGTCATTGGAATTTATCGTATTTTACCAGGCAAATGTAGTCGATGCGTGACACCATATGTAGCTTATAAATCTTTACATTTAAAATGTAAAACTTGCTAATCATTGTATATTGAACTTTCAGAATAATTAGCGTTGAGTTTATATACACTCTAGTACATAAAATCACAACAAATGGGCGTTAGAGACATTAAGTCAGCTGGCTCCAACTTTATTCTCTTCCCTGTACGTACTTAAATGATATTAAAAACTTCTTGCTATTACATTACTTTGTAGTAGGGTAACAACATTTAGTAACGTGAATACAGGACTTCTATTTCTAATTACTGTAGAACCCTTGAGTTAAGAAAAAGATGAAATGGATGCATTGATGGAAGCTTCTAATACGCACCTGAATAAGCATCCTCGTCCACGTCATAGGTGGAAAACGAGCGTCCATTAGCATAGTACAGACAGTTTCTGAGAAAGGTAAACACGAAGCAGTTAGGCAGTTGTTATAGGGAATGTGCACAATGTAGGTGTTATTTATTCAAGATAATTTCTGGCACGGGCATAGTTATACTAGAAACCTAGCTGACAAGTTACATGAAAAGTGACGTGTAGTTGTACAATTAAATTTTCCCAACTATAATTAATGAGCCATGAATAAGCCACTGGATTTTGCGTTAGAACAGAAGTATTGCATATGAGAACTCACTGTCTACCAACTGCTTATCTCACCTCCAGAGGACCAACCATTGTGAAATATTTAAGTCACTGGGATGCATACATTGCCAGGCATCATCAGCAGACAATAAAGGTTCCGTGATTCTCCTAAATTGCTTTGTCGACTTCCTGTCATCATTTAATTAAATCTATGTAACACAATGCGATTTTCAGTATCAACTTTTGAGAGGCTTTTGCAGATTAAGATGGTAGTAGTATACCAACAGCGACTACCACACTACCAGTCAATACCACTCCAACAACTGCTGCACTAACATCTATCACACCACAACCACATAATATTAATAACTTCAGTACCACAAGTATCAAACGACAACTACACCTCAATCCACGTCAACAATAACTACCACTCCAAAACAGCACAAATAATGATTACTATCTAAACAAATACCCCACCTGGTCAGAGAATAGTCAAGACTGCTGAAGATGCCCCACGACAAGCGATACCTTGGGGGGAAATAAAAAAAAAACATTAATAAGTCAATGCTACGTAAGCTAATACGAAGATTCTGTTAGAGGTTATGTCAGTGCTTTAAAGAACGGAAAGTATAAACGTTTATACAATAAACATCCAAATTTTTTTAAATACCTAACTTGCTTAACGTTACCACGTCCGAAGTATCAAGAGGTGCAACCGGGGTCAAAGTGAAATTTATGCAACTTTTCAAGTTTATATAAATATTACCCCAGTTTGAGATATTTACTAAATTTGATCATAAAGGTACAGTGATAAATGTTGCACAGAGATACAATTCTACAGTCGGCTTCACTATCTGCAAGTGGTTCACTTACTTGGTATCCTCTGAGCCAACTTTGAAGTTATGCCAGACGGTGTATTGAGGGATACCAGTACTGAGGATGATGTCGAGCCTCATGTCGTAGTTCCGGCTGGTGGTCAAAGCATGGAGGGTTTCCGTACCTGTGAAAGTTTTCTCTTTTCAGTCGTTGTTTTACCCGTGATTTTTTTTGGTGTGTTTATACTCACCTATATGTGGTTGCAGGGGTCGATTCACAGCTCCTGGTCGTATGTATGTGTGATTTTGATTCATTAGCAACTTGTGTGACGTAATGTGATCATGTTTTTACGGAGCCTTACTGAATCTCCTAAGATCTGTCTCCCTTCACTTCTGTATTCGACCGAGGCCTGCTGCGCAGGTGAAACGTTTCGGTAATAAGGATACCCACCATCTCCCTTGACGTACTAAATTACTTGATGGCCTGTCTTTCCTGATTTAAAGTCTAAGAGGATACATATAAACTATCTCTTCATTTACTCATTCACAATCTGCTATTCATCTCAATTCAAATTCAAAGTTTATTCTCTATAAGGATTACAATGCTGAGTTTACAGAATTTGGTTATTGTGTGGTTTACATGTAGTAAAATAATGATTACAGAGTGTACCACTAGAACACCTAGCATGGCTAGGCATTTCGGGCAGACTTAGTTTAATTCTTAATTTTAAAATATTACAAATTATGTGAATCTTGTGGCCTATCTCGAGATGGCACTCTCCAGCCAGTGACCTACCCAACCTCCTATTGCTTACCTCTCCAATGATTCTTAATTTCCTCAGCTTGCAACCTACTGATCCTTTTTGGGCAACTCACGCAATCTACCCGAGCATCTTTGAATTATCACCATGAGTATAGCGATTTTTTTAAATATAATAATAATACTTGGCCTGGTCCATTCATGCAATATTTTTTGCCATTTATTTTTATGTATAATTATTGACTGTTCAAACAAAATTATAACACTGAAGTGGCTACTAATTTTTGTTTCTTCCAAGAGGATTTTACAGGTGCACCCAGGTGGCAGTCACAGTGTGTGCCATACTCCATTGATTATCATGTGGAAATATCAATGGATATATGCTAGTTATAAAATCTTCACTAGAATTTACTTTCCTCCCTAGGTAGTACAAATAAGTGAAATTTCAGGTGTGAGCCTATGGAATACTTACGGTCTAATTCTATTGTAACTCGCAAGAATATAACCTAACAAGGCTCATCCGACCTACATCTCGTGATACGTCCCTGTAACCTTCCCCCTACCAAGCCTTTTTTGGTGTCTTGTATCCTCCCTCAGGCTGTGACCTACTGAACTTCTTGTAGTCTACCTCTTTCGAGGTAGGCTACATGAACTTACCAAGTCTCTTTTGTCCTATTGTTATTGTGACTTTACCAGTCTGTGTCCACAAAGGCTTTTGTGGCTTACCCTTCTCATGAGACCCCCCCTCCCTCCAGCCTGCAACCCATTAAGTTTCTCGTGGCCTATTTCTCATGACTTTTCTGCACCCTTCTCTCCAGTCTGCAACCTACCAAGCCAATATTCGCCGTGTCTGTCGCCAAATCCTATCTTGTATTCAGACCAGGAGCGGTTGAAGTCCTCACGTTGTGACTGCGTGTTTCGGTTCAGGTAAACTGTCCAACCTCCGCCATCCGTGTCCATATCGCAGTACACCTGCACCTTATTGCTACACCTGCATCTGTAGGAGTGATAGCACAAGAATCACCACACGGCACCCGCACTTCGTTATATATAGTGACAACACAATTAAAACCTTGTCATGTCCCATATTGCTCCACCTGCACTTTCTTTGCCACATCTATTGCCACATTTGAACCTCTGGTTACACCTAACACCTGTAGGAGTGATAGTATAGACTTGGCTACACCTGAGTTCCTTGGCTACATCAGTACCTACAGGTGGAGTTAAATTAGACTGAATTATTTAATAATAGTGGAACGTTAATTCAAACCGTTTGTTTATAATAAATTTTGTTCCAGCCCCTAAAAGCAATCCTTATGCAAATTATTTTTAAGTTAATTTTATTTCCTTGTTTTCGTTTTCCTCAGTTTTCTTTGGCGACACGGACGCCAAAAGACACAAGTTTGACATTTTTGGGTTATCCTAGGTAATCTACACAAATGCTGCTATGTACGATAATCTATGTAACTGTATTTATGTGTAACTGTACCCGAATAAAAACTTACTTAAATGGAAAGGAAAGGATTGTTCTTGTTGGGAAAGGGAGTTGAGGGCCACGAAAGCTTAGACTTAGACGGGGAGGGGCTAGATACGGAGTAAGTTGTCAGTGGTCCTATAAACCACCAACATGAAGTTCATGGTAAGAAAATTGATATATAAGATGGAATTACCGAGAGTAATTATTACAGTGTGTCATTATCAAGAAAATGAGGGATAGAAAACGAAAAAAAACACTCACGTAAATGGATAAATATCGTACACGCCGCTGACTTCTGCCCCCAGTATCAGCAGATCTGCGCAGTCTATCGGTCTGAAAGGCAAGAGGCTTGTATTACCTACTAGTAATAGATTGTGTACAAATTATAAATGTGCGTTAGGGATTACCAACAAATCCCTAGTTGTCTTCAAGAGGGAACTCTACAGATTCCTCAAAAACAAGCCCCTGATAGCCAGGTTGTGGTGCATACGTTGGACTGCTGGAAGCGGGCACTAACAGCGTGATCGATCAGGCTAGCAACCAGCAGGCCTGGTCTGAGACCGGGCCGCGGGGGCGGTGACCTCCGAAAGCGACTCCAGGTAGTACTATATATACACTGAGTATTTGGGTGTTTTTTTTCACTAAAATAATTTTTTTTACTTCAACAGTGGGTTGTTTACGCAATGGGTTATGTAGCTCGGTACTGGTATAATTTCACTGAGCTCTGTGCTGAACTCATTGAGTTTTGGGATGTTGACATAAGAGAAAACTGTTTACTTCACTGACTGCTGGGTGTTGATCACGTTAAATACTAAGTTGTTTACACTATCAAGTATCAGGTTAACTCGCATGGTACTTAGCTGATTACATAGCCGAATACTATTTAAAATAAAAAATGGGAAAGCATGTGGGTTTACCACAAGACTGGTTCCAGTGCTTAAACATGTTAAATAAACTAAACTACACTTTAATAAAGACCTGGAGAACCTAGGACACAATCACACCTTGTTAAGATATTTAGGAAACATCGACATCTAGATAGGATACATAAATACAAGAAGTTGAAATGAGCCAGATGGATGTAGGAATGAATTGTTTTATTACGAGATAGTAAGCAAGTAGAATGTATGTGGGGCTACTCTGGAGTGGCTACTCTGGAGGGGCTACTCTGGAGTAGCTACTCTGGTCCATTAGGACCAGGAGTAGCCACACCAGATAAAAGTTCTAACAAGAGCTTTCTTTCCTCAAGGGAGGTTCCTTGATGCGGGTGAGGGACTCGATCTAAGAGGCTGGACCTGTGCACCAATTCCTTTAATTGGGCCTGAATGTCTTCCAGTTTCCCCAGGCGCTGTGTAACCCCTATGGATTTAGTGCTTCCAATGATAATAATAATAATAATAATAATAATGAATCGGAGTAATCGCACGTAGGAAAGAACACTAACCTGACATTAGGGGGTAGCTTAAACAGAGGAGCTGTCGTCACTGACGGTCTGTAAAGGAAAAAAAATATTATTCTTCAGTTATTTGTTTCGTACCTTCCGGAGCTAGAGTGCTTTGTACTTGGTGCGTAATTCTGAAGAGTACAAGAAAGAGCAACATTTCAGATTTAATATGTTGTGAGCCTATGAAGTTACTATATGCAATACAGTACCAAGCTGTGAACATCTATAGTCACATTATGCATTGCAATACTAGACAGCTTCTAGTTTATATGATTCTAGACTAAGCTACCGTAGTTAATGTAGGATCTACATTTTTTCTAAACGACTGAATTAATGTATGTGCCACATCATTGCAAACCACTGTAATTAATTATTAATGTAGGCAATCAACAACAAGACTATAGTTGACGTAAAATATACAGTACTTTGGCCCGAGATCGAAGATGTTACGGGTCCGCCTCTCCCCACTTTCCATGTTGCTGTTGATAAATTCCAGCTGCCTCAACCTTGCTCTCTGCCTCTTCTGGAGGGAGACATGTGCTTCACCACTGTCTCGTAATCCATGGATGTCCCGTACGTCCATGCTACTGTTCTTTAGTCCACGGATGTCTCTGCTGCCCTCATCTGGATCAACATGATTTACGGAGACCAAATTGACCTCACCCTGGGAGACAAGGAACGGGTCGTTCAACTGTTTAAGACCCGTGTGAGGATGCCATTCCTGACGTATATTACACAATATAATACAATCCTCCCTTCTTGTTCTGTGACCGTTCCAGGATTCCCTGACCTCTCCATTGATACCGTCCTGGCAAGAACATTGATTATAGCTGTTGTATGAATATTAGTCATCAAAAGAACAAGCTGAAATTGCCCGAAACTGTGTTCTTTTATTTCAAGTTTAAAGAATCAGGCAAATACAAGAGAACGTAATATAACCGAGGTTGTGATGCGTTATTCGTCAGAAAATAGGACAACCGTTACTTGACGGGAGTCCAAGTCCTCTGAAGACTCCCTTACAGGAGCTGATGGTCACATGACCAAGATCTTTCCCTGGCTTATGAGCTCACCCGGTAAACAATTAAATATCACATAATGTGATGTGGAATGTGTTGTAGTGTAGCCTAGTGAATAAGTTCTTTTATTTTACCTGGGACTGCGGAATATCCAGGACGACATCGGAACCATAGGCGATCCAGGAGACCACACTCACCGCTAGTACACGTAGCCACACAACTTCCATCACTCCCAGACACAGCCTTAAAGATGATGCACAGAGATCATTACTTTCTTATTGTTAGTGTTTATATATATATATATATATATAATATATATATATATATATATATATATATATATATATATATATATATATATATATATATATATATATATATATATATTAGGGTATTTCCAATTTATTGTACGATCTTGTCATTATCTACCTTAATATACAGCCCCATGTAAATCATATTACATTAACTTGTACACTAGTGTAAATCCTCCGCTATTGAGCAGGTTATTGCTAATTCTCTGGAGTGAATCTGGGTTTTTGTTTCAATATTTTTTTTTCGTGTACTCATATATCCAATGAAAGATGACAAATCACCCACTGGCTAAACAATTCTTGGAATTTATCATTTGATGCAGTAACTAAAAACATTTGACATGTGGGTGGAACAGCTTAATAATTGTACGAATTGTCAAATTATTAGTTTTACACGAATTGTCGAACTTAGAGAAATATAAATTCTGAAGATGAAAATAAGTTTACGAGAAGTAAAAAATAAGAAAAAAGTACTCAGAATATCAAGTTATTAGTCTTTCAAGAAAAAAATTCTGAAGATAAACAAAAAGAGCACGAAATGCCGATCTGACAAAGTGTACGAAATATCAAGATGGACAAAAAAGTACAAGAAATGTCAAGATGGTACGTACACGAATTGCCAAGATGGCAAGAGTGTGACCAACCAGCAGGGACTACGGACACGTCAGGAAAGAGACGAGTTTTTATGCATGAAATACGGTAGGTGGTTGTCATACGTCATCGTGTATTTTCAAAACGTTGGTTACAAATTACTCGAATGTTGATAAACCGTATAGTTGTGCCAGATTCTGCTTCATTTAATAGTAGTGGTGCTGCCTTGATGCTGCTGACAAGTTCTTTATCTGAGCAATTACAGCTACCCTACCCTTCCTTGGATATTAATAATAATACTGCTACTACTGCTTCGTGCCACATTCGCAACGGTATCATTTCTGTCTCCTTGCTGTAGTCTCAGACTGCATTCAATGCTGGCTATGCCGCACCCTCAGCAGGTATAGATTGTATTTTGCTGGGTCCCTGGCCATTCGGCTTAATCTTCGGGTAAGCCCCAGATGTAAACCTTTGCTGCACGAGTCATTGCTTCACTGCCTCGAGAGATCCCAAAAGGAACTTGGTTTGGATGAAGCAAGTTGGCAATTTCGGTGCTTTGAATGCCGTTCTGGCAACGAGATGAAGGTAAGTAAGTTTTTATTCAGGTACATATACACATAAATACTACCTCTCAGGGTGTTACCCTTGTCCTTTTTCAAGGCATATAATAAAGCACCTCTGAACGGTTTGAATTTTCCAGGTATCAGCCTGGCAAGACAGTTGTTGATGAACATTGTTATCTGTAATGGAAAGTAATGCCTGTCTGTCCTATTTGTGTGGCTGTGGTCCATGCGAGGAATGATATATATTATATATATATATATATATATATATATATATATATATATATTATATATATATATATATATATATATATATATATATATATATATGTCGTGCCGAATAGGCAGAACTTGCGATCTTGGCTTAAATAACAACTCTCATCTTGCCATATAGGACAAGTGAAAATTTGTGTTTACCTGGAGTTTACCTGGAGAGAGTTTCGGGGGTCAACGCCCCCGCGGCCCGGTCTGTGACCAGGCCTCCTGGTGGATCAGCGCCTGATCAACCAGGCTGTTGCTGCTGGCTGCACGCAAACCAACGTACGAGCCACAGCCCGGCTGATCAGGAACTGACTTTAGGTGCTTGTCCAGTGCCAGCTTGAAGACTGCCAGGGGTCTGTTGGTAATCCCCCTTATGTGTGCTGGGAGGCAGTTGAACAGTCTCGGGCCCCTGACACTTATTGTATGGTCTCTTAACGTGCTAATGACACCCCTGCTTTTCATTGGGGGGATGGTGCATCGTCTGCCAAGTCTTTTGCTTTCGTAGTGAGTGATTTTCGTGTGCGAGTTCGGTACTAGTCCCTCTAGGATTTTCCAGGTGTATATAATCATGTATCTCTCCCTCCTGCGTTCCAGGGAATACAGGTTTAGAAACCTCAAGCGCTCCCAGTAATTGAGGTGTTTTATCTCCGTTATGCGCGCCGTGAAAGTTCTCTGTACATTTTCTAGGTCGGCAATTTCACCTGCCTTGAAAGGTGCTGTTAGAGTGCAGCAATATTCCAGCCTAGATAGAACAAGTGACCTGAAGAGTGTCATCATGGGCTTGGCCTCCCTAGTTTTGAAGGTTCTCATTATCCATCCTGTCATTTTTCTAGCAGATGCGATTGATACAATGTTATGGTCCTTGAAGGTGAGATCCTCCGACATAATCACTCCCAGGTCTTTGACGTTGGTGTTTCGCTCTATTTTGTGGCCAGAATTTGTTTTGTACTCTGATGAAGATTTAATTTCCTCATGTTTACCATATCTGAGTAATTGAAATTTCTCATCGTTGAACTTCATATTGTTTTCTGCAGCCCACTGAAAGATTTGGTTGATGTCCGCCTGGAGCCTTGCAGTGTCTGTAATGGAAGACACTGTCATGCAGATTCGGGTGTCATCTGCAAAGGAAGACACGGTGCTGTGGCTGACATCCTTGTCTATGTGGATATGAGGATGAGGAACAAGATGGGAGCTAGTACTGTGCCTTGTGGAACAGAGCTTTTCACCGTAGCTGCCTCGGACTTTACTCTGTTGACGACTACTCTCTGTGTTCTGTTAGTGAGGAAATTATAGATCCATCGACCGACTTTTCCTGTTATTCCTTTAGCGCGCATTTTGTGCGCTATTACGCCATGGTCACACTTGTCGAAGGCTTTTGCAAAGTCTGTATATATTACATCTGCATTCTTTTTGTCTTCTAGTGCATTTAGGACCTTGTCGTAGTGATCCAGTAGTTGAGACAGACAGGAGCGACCTGTTCTAAACCCATGTTGCCCTGGGTTGTGTAACTGATGGGTTTCTAGATGGGTGGTGATCTTGCTTCTTAGGACCCTTTCAAAGATTTTTATGATATGGGATGTTAGTGCTATTGGTCTGTAGTATGCAATAATTTCGCCAAAATCATTCTGAACCTAACGAAAAAAATATATTTCACTGTGTTTGTTTAGTATTAAATTATTGTAAACAAATCTAAAATATATTTAGTTGGGTTAGGCTAAAATAAATTTTTCTTGTTATAATAAGGTTAGGTAAGTTTTCTAAGATTATTTTAGAGCAAAATAAATAAATATATATATATATATATATATATATATATATATATATATATATTATATATATATATATATCATAACACTGCGACTGCCAAGATTCAACATGTCGTTTTGGACTGCCTGTCGTGAGCGAAAATCACATGCGACCTTAGCCACAGGACTTACACAATCCTACAAGAGCCAAGCGCCAGCCAGCTTGGTGTGTTGACTTAGTCAAAGATTTACGGCGTTGTAGGGATCTAAGCCAATTCCTTCTATCGTTGTGTTCTTCTTGGAGACCATGTGGGGGTTGCCTGCATCACCAGTCGGTTCTTCTTCTTGGAGTCCGTGGGGGGATTGTTGCAATTGCATTCTAATCCCGTGGTGTTTCTTCTTGGAGACCATGGGGGGGGGGGTTTTGCCTGCATCACACCAGTCGTGTTTCTTCTTGGAGTCCGTGGGTGGTTGTTGCATACATCAAACCGGTGGTGTTCCTTCTTGGAGACCATGGGGGGGTTGTTGCCTGCATCACACCAGTCGTGTTTCTTCTTGGAGTCCGTGGGTGGTTGTTGCATGCATCACACCAATCGTGTTTCTTCTTGGAGACCATGGGGGGTTGTTGCCTGCATCACACCAGTCGTGTTTCTACTTGGAGTCCGTGGGGGGTTGTTGCATGCATCACACCAGTCATGTTTCTTCTTGGAGGGAGACCGTGGGGGGTTGTTGCCTGCATCACACCAGTCATGTTTCTTCTTGGAGACCGTGGGGGGTTGTTGCATGCATCACACCAGTCATGTTTCTTCTTGGAGGGAGTCCGTGGGGGGTTGTTGCATGCATCACACCAGTCGTGTTTCTTCTTGGAGACCGTGGGGGGTTGTTGCATGCATCACACCAGTCATGTTTCTTCTTAAAAAACATACCACGGGCGGGATTTGAACCCGCGGTCAGAGAGTCTCAAAACTCCAGACCGTCGCGTTAGCCATTGGACCAGCTAGCCACAATAAGATTCGTCCAACTAGGTATATTTCTACACCATAGGAACCCCTCAAGGAAGGTTCCTTGATGTTGGTGATGGGCTCTTGATTTAGGGAATTGGATCTGTGCTCCAGTTCTCCGAATTAAGCCTGAATGCCTTCCACATCCCCCCCCCCAGGCGCTGTATAATCCTCCGGGTTTAGCGCTTCCCCCTTGATTATAATAATAATAATACACTATAGGAAGGTTAGCATAGGCACCACTGTGACCACAAATGCAAGTTTTTACAGACGAATCTCCAGCTAGCGTGGCCGTGACGAACTCTAGCTCAGGTCCCCTCAATGCCGTCAACATGACCGCGGGTTCAAATCCCGCCCGTGGTATGGTTTGTTTGCAATCGTGCCATTACGATTTCGTGAGTCATGTTTCTTCTTGGAGGGAGACCGTGGGGGGTTGTTGCCTGCATCACACCAGTCGTGTTTCTTCGTGGAGTCCGTGGGGGGTTGTTGCCTGCATCACACCAGTCGTGTTTCTTCGTGGAGTCCGTGGGGGGTTGTTGCCTGCATCACACCAGTCGTGTTTCTTCGTGGAGTCCGTGGGAGGTTGTTGCCTGCATCACACCAGTCGTGTTTCTTCTTGGAGACCGTGGGGGTTGTTGCCTGCATCACACCAGTCGTGTTTCTTGGAGCCCGTGGGGAGTTGTTGCCTGCACCACACCAGTCGTGTTTCTTCTTGGAGCCCGTGGGGAGTTGTTGCCTGCACCACACCAGTCGTGTTTCTTCTTGGAGACCGTGGGGGTTGTTGCCTGCATCACACCAGTCGTGTTTCTTGGAGCCCGTGGGGAGTTGTTGCCTGCACCACACCAGTCGTGTTTCTTCTTGGAGCCCGTGGGGAGTTGTTGCCTGCACCACACCAGTCGTGTTTCTTCTTGGAGCCCGTGGGGAGTTGTTGCCTGCACCACACCAGTCGTGTTTCTTGGAGACCGTGGGGGGTTGTTGCCTGCACCACACCAGTCGTGTTTCTTCTTGGAGACCGTGGGGGGTTGTTGCCTGCACCACACCAGTCGTGTTTCTTCTTGGAAACCGTGGGAGGTTGTTGCCTGCATCACACCAGTCGAGTATTGTTTGAGAAGCATTGTACACAAGGTTAAACTCGATACTCTCAACACGGGAGAGTGGACAAAGTAAACATTTGTATTTCCTTTGTGCATACACAGGCGCGCACGCGCACGAACACAGCACGGAGTGACTCAGTAACGACCAGTGAAGAGGCGGGGCCAGGAGCTATGAATCGACCCCTGTAATCACAATTAGGTGAGTACACGTATATTACTGCCACCAAGTCTGTGTAAAATAAATAAACATGCCTTGAGTTTTGTGTGCATTTAAACAAAAAAATCAAATTATGTCTGGAGTAACAGGAGGTAGTGTTTCTAGCTACAGCACTGAATCATTTTTATTTCTTTTCGGCTAGTTCCTAGGCCTTGTTTGTGTCCATTTGTCTTTCGTTACCGTCCACAGGATGGATATAAGGTGCCATATAAAGTAGCCGCTTCGGCAGCAAAATCTACAACTGAAATTTAAAATTGTTACTAATTCAGTAAGCTTGTCTGTTCTGTTGATGATTCTGGTACATCTAAGACACCAAAAATTAGCCTCACGGCAAATTTTCATATAACCTCCAGTTTGTGCGGTTCTGAGCCTGGAGAGTTCCTCTCGTGCTAGGCTTGATAGTCAGGCAGGAATTTAAAGTATCTTACGTAAATTCGACTCACACTGCCACTCTGTGTTCTTCTACCTAGAGCTTTTAGAGGTGTGATGATACAGAGCACACGAAGACCATCTCATTGAACAAAGGGAATTTGTAAAAAGCTAAGCATTAATAATGTCATATGGTCGGTCGTTTAGAGAACACATTAATATAAATGCAACTAAGGTTAGAAAAATGATAAGGTGGCTTATGAGACCCTTCAAAACAAAAGAAACAATGCCGATGATGGTGCTTGTGAAATAAAGTGTTCTCTCATGACTTGATATAGTCTTGTGCTCACAGCAGCTTTCAAGGCAGGATAGATAACAGAGCTGGAAAATGAAGTGATCCTTGCTACTTGGATAGAATCGGTTACATCTAGATTGCTGGGATATACTTTCTGGAACAGAAGAGATACCTGATAATATATAAATGGAAGATACATGATGTTTAGTTTCTAGTCTGCACAGTGCCATAATTTACTGGAGTGAGAGATATGAGAGGGAGTATAGAATGAACTCCGTGAAAGGTAGAGGCTCAATAGGCACCATTAGAGAACAGTGGTAGCAAACTACTGAACCTGTTATTAGCAGATATAAAAAATATTACCTCTGAACAGTTTCAGAAGTATTTTTTTTATATACTCACAATTCGGCCTAGGGCCAGGCTTTTCTGTTGTTTGCCTGTTCAACCAGGCTGTTATTGTTTGCTGCCCGTGAAGAACCATCAAAAATAGTCACAGGTATGTTAATATTAGCTCCCCTCCAGGGAGGTTCCTTGATGCTTGTGAGAAGCTGTTGATCTAAGGAATTGGACCCGTGCTCCAATCCCTTAAATCGGGTCTAAATGCCTTAAATTCCCCAAGGCGCTGTATGGCCCCGACGGGTTTAGCTCTCCATAGGTGTTTATATAGTCTCCATACTTCAGTACCTTGGTTGTTCGGAAAGGTGGCAGATTACTGTATAACCCACAGGGAATAACCCCATTGTCTATTCGCTGTTCAACCCATAGGCAATAGGAGTCAATCAGGTTCGATCCAATGAAGGAAAGGGTACACCTGTTTCATTAGATCAAGAGCATCCTCACAGGTATCAAGATACCTCTGTCAAGGAGAAAATTATTATAGGATTCCAGGCTTGTGTGGACTTTGTCCTGACTCCTGTCCTAGGACATGCTTGATTGATTTGTAACGTTAAACCCAGTAAAGTGACTTTACTGGGTTTAACGTGTTTTCATCATAAAATAAAAATAGAGATGACAAAAGCAGAGCTGTTTCTTAGATCCTTCGATCCCTTACAAAAGTGTACTTTAAACCCCATAGTTGTCCAGCGGTTCAAGGATCGGCTTTCCCACCATAGTTGTCCAGTGATTCAAGGATCGGCTTTCCCACCATAGTTGTCCGGTGGTTCAAGGATCGGCTTTCCCACCATAGTTGTCCGGTGGTTCAAGGATCGGCTTTCCCACCATAGTTGTCCAGTGATTCAAGGATCGGCTTTCCCACCATAGTTGTCCAGTGATTCAAGGATCGGCTTTCCCACTAGTTGTCCGGTGGTTCAAGGATCGGCTTTCCCACCATAGTTGTCCGGTGGTTCAAGGATCGGCTTTCCCACCATAGTTGTCCAGTGATTCAAGGATCGGCTTTCCCACCATAGTTGTCCAGTGATTCAAGGATCGGCTTTCCCACCATAGTTGTCCGGTGGTTCAAGGATCGGCTTTCCATTATACGCAGTTTTAGAACACCCGAAGAGGCTCCTTGATATTGGTGAAAAGCTTTTTGATGCATGAAATTGTACCTGACCTCCCCTTCATTGGATCGAACCCGATTGCCTCCTACCCCCTCCCAAGGGTTTTGTCACCCCTACGGGTTTAGCGCTTTTCTCCTAAATACAATAAATATAAAGCAGTTTTAAGATTACTGAAGATTGCATTGGTGTTTATGGTGAAATATAAAGAAAATATTTGTAGTATTAACTCAAGTCGGGATTTTAAAAATGGCCCAAAATACTAAAGAAAGTCAATTATAAATATTGAAAACCTCGATCACAATGTTTAAGAAAGTTAATGGGTAAGCGTTAAACCTGTAGTGTCATGGAAGCCTATTGGCCATGCTAGGCAGGTCCAGTTCACATTAACCCCCACCAATTCGTATACCTGTCCAGTCTGTTTAAAGCTACTCAAAGTTCTGTTTCAGTGAGTCCCCTCAAGGAAGGTTCCTTGATGTTGGTGAGGGGCTCTTGATTTAGGGAATTGGATCTGTGCTCCAGTTCCCCGAATTAAGCCTGAATGCCTTCCACATCCCCCCCCAGGCGCTGTATAATCCTCCGGGTTTAGCGCTTCCCCCTTGATTATAATAATAATAATAATGTTTCAGTGAGTTTGTTCCACTCATCTGCAAAACTAATAACAAACCAGTACCTCCCTCTTTCCTTTTTAAAACAATATTTGTCCAACCTGACACCATCGCTGAGAGTCCTATTTTGGTCAAATAAACTTTATATCCAGATCAAAGGGATATAAATAATGTATTAATTCGGACAGTCAACCTATCTTCAATAGATGGTAAACTCTTGTAAATAATAATTTGAGATCAGATGGTGCAACAGTTAGAGGATATATTAATTAAAAACTCAAGACGATTTCTGGGTATATTGTCCATGTTAAATAAAACCTTGATTGTGTTTATGCTAGTTTTAGTTTTTACAATGAATACAAAGCATTACACATGATATTAACGGCAGTGTTTTTTTTTTCCTTTTTAAAAGGTTCCTCAGGAAAATCTTTCTATAATAATAATAATAAAGGTACATAGTATACATGACTGATTTTTTTTATAAAAGTGAATATCTGGATGCGAACAATGGGGTTACCTTAATTAAAGTACATTACAATAGCGAGAATTAAACCATACCCCCGGCCGGGATTGAACCCGCGGTCATAGAGTCTCAAAACTCGTATTAGCATAGCACAAGGATCACTCTTGGGACCAGTTATATTCTAACCAATATTTTTTCTCTCAAAAATGAGTTCTGCGGTACTGTATAAAAGTCGACAGCAACACAAAACTGGGGGCGTGTGAAACAAATGTGTATAGCTGTGAGAGAAGGACACACACACGTGAAGGACAGATGAGCAGATGTTGCGAGCTGTGGGGGGAGGGACAGGTGCACATAACTTGAGTCATTAGGCATAGACAGGTGCCGCGGTTACCCCTAACTGTAGGGGAGGGACAGGTGCAGCAGTTGTCCCTACCTGTGGGGGAGGGACAGGTGCAGCAGTTGTCCCTAACTGTGGGGGAGGGACAGGGGCAGCAGTTGTCCCTAACTGGAAGGAAGGAGCAGGTGCTGCTGTTGGGGCTAACTGTGGAGGAAAGGCAGGTGCAGCAGTTGGGGTTAACTGTGGAGGAAGAGCAGGTTCAGCAGTTGGGGCTAACTGTGGAGGAAAGGCAGGCGCAGCAGTTAGGGCTAACTGTGGGGAAGGGACAGGTGCAGCAGTTAGGGCTAACTGTGGGGGAGGGGCAGTTGTCACTAAATGTGGGAAAGGAGTAGGTGCAGTAGCTGTCACTAGCTGAAGTTGGGGAATAGCAGGTGCCATGGATAGATCGCCGCATTTCCAGCGCTGGTAGTGGTTGAGGTAGATGGACTTGATGTTTTCACTGCAGACGGTGGGGCGTATCTTGAGCTGAAGTTTACTAAGGCTAATGAAATCGTGGTTGAAGCACGTTATGTTGATCCGCCTCACTTCCATTCGCTCCACTGTTGGTGGGGTTGAACTGCAAGCAATTGTAGTACCACCACCCGCCACCTTGGATCAGGGCACAATTATCTGCGATGAAATATAAAGTGGTTCTTAATTTACACGGCTCGAAGTTGAATAGGACATAGGTTTAATACGAACAAATTAATATCTTTGACCAAAGGCCAAACTTCGCAGAAATTATATACTTCCCAAAAATAAAATTATTCCTCGCCTTCAAATCATACCTCCCCTTCAACATCTTAAGGAACATATTCTGTCACCAAACATACCAGATCAAGGATAAGGTAGCAATACAGCTGTAGACAATATAAATATGTTCTCAGTGGACCTACTGCAGTGCTTCCTGCACTTTTCATCGGTCCTGCTGCCCCTAAATATGCTTACCTCCTATATACATTCTGCTAAAGAGGATCGAAGATAGGGACTGAAATATAGCCTCACTTTCAATTAATGTTTGTAAGAACCTTTACAACATTTTAATAATGATAACAGTAATATAATAATGTACAATTATAATTACAAATAATAATGTACAGTAGAAATAGATACCTGAGTAAGAGTCTTCGTCCTGGTCGTAGGTGGAGAACGAGCGTCCGTTGGCGTAGCTCAGGCAGTTGCTGAGGGTGGTCAAAACAAGCGGTTAGGATTTTTTTTTACTGGGAATGTGCACGAGGTATGTAAGTGATATTGATTCATTGCAACATACGGCATAATTATTATTATAATAACCAAAACTAAGCGTTCCCTATGCCACAAACATTGGTAGAAACACGGAGACCTACGGCGCAACCATAGGTGTACTAAACATGGAGATAGTCTCAGCATAGGTAAACATAGTGTGCTGAATGTAGAGACATACGACACAAACATTAGCATACTAAACGTGGAAACCCACGGTAAAAACATAGGTTTACTAAACATGAAGACCTAAAGCACAGGTGATGAAACAGGACTGGTAGTTGCACGGTGAATTTTTCCCAGCCACAACACCACTTGATTTAAAGACTAGGGTTTAGGTAAAGTGTTAGGTTTATTGCCTGTCGACTGCACGTATGTCACTGTGGCCGCTTTTCAACTGTACACCAGTTTCAAAAACAGTTCAATCCCTAAAAGATAAATTAAAATACCGTGTAAAGACCCAAAGGATATAGCTAGTACTATCACAAGAACTAATCTTTCAGTAAATGATCAAAAGCAAAACCGAAAAAGGTAAATAATTTGAATATACTGTGTAACGAGAGCCCCATCTCAACAGTAACTTCAGTGAAATATCCAAGAATATCCTTTGATACATGTCAGGTGAACTGATGGTGAACATAGGTAGATACCAAGTTAAAATTTCTCTGTACAGGTGTGGTGCCTACCTGTTCAGGCACCTGTGACTTTATGTCTAGTTCTTATACAATGTCGTGTTGATTATTATTGTTCTTCATTATACACTACTCCAATAAAAAAATCTGAAAAGCAGGCTACAAATTACTCAAAATAATAAGGTGAGATTCATCCTGGACCTGCATCCGGAGAACACGGAGGTGAGGATGAATTGAAAATACTGGAAATAATTAAAGCTAGAGATACATAATGAAGCTGAAGGTCAACTATGCATACAAAATTACTAACAACCAGTGTTCAAAATATCTTGCTGCAGATTTTATGAAGTTAGAAACGAAATCCAGTATGGTACTAAGAAACGTGCACACAATGATGTGTACCCTATTTAGGGCTTAAAGTGTTCTTGACTGGTGATAAACAGGCGACACGTAGCCTTTTAGGTTCAATTAACCAACCAGCGATCCTATATGCAGGTTAGTGTGAAATATCAGGGTGTAGATTTCAGGTGTTTGGGATGTGTATGTCACCCACCTGTCTGGGCCAACCACGAAGATCTATGGCAATACGTTCAGTCTTGAAACTATATTGTAAATCAGTTCATTGAGTTGTTGTCATTAGTCTTATATTCTACTAAATATAATAAGAATTTGGCTGTCATCTATAAAATTATAGTGGTAACAAATATATGCAGATTAAACAATGAATAACGGTTTCCACACAATAAGGATTGTCACACCACAACTACGGTAAAAAACGACCACACAGTTTTCACTATACAACAACTACCATAACCACGAATATACAACAACTACCATAACCACGAATAATACACCAGTAACGACTACTACACATGAATGACTATCACACCAAGATCTACTACCATACTTACGACTCCAACACGACACCTGCGCTAACAATGACTACCACACAACTGCACAAATATCAAGTGCCTCACCTGGTCAGAGAAAAGTCAAGGCTGGTGAAAGTGCTCCACGACAAACGATACCTATAGGGAAAAAGTTCAATGCTCCTGTTAGTAACATCGAAGGTTAAAACAAGTCAGTTAGGTTAGGTTAGGTAAGGTTCGTCAGGAAACAGGACAAATGTTTCCTGACGCGGGTCTTAGTCAGATGATGACCCGCCTTTGGAGCTTTTGGTCATCTGACCGAGGCCTTCCACTGGCTTACCGGTCCACCCCTTTAAAAATTATGGTCAGTGTCTTGCTGTAAGAGCCGGACGATTAAAATACAACAAATCTAAAGTGACTCGACTGATACAGTGACATTCCTAAGCTAACTAGTTTGCCTCAACTTCCAAGGCATGATACTACCTTCTATTGCTAAGATAAATAATTTACCTTGATAACTAGCTAGAATACTTTCATTGCTAACGTCAATATTTCGAGCATGTTTTAGATTTTGTATTTATATACATTTGCACAAACTACACATTTTCAAATTCCCCCGACTGTTTATTGTGAAAGAGTTATTTAGTAGTGAGTAATGAATTTTAATTCAACTACCTACCTACTACAGCTCTCTCTCTCTCTCTTCAAAACATTAAGAAAATCTATCCTAGTAGTTTTTTTAGCCTATTGATCAACATGGTCTGTGTGTGGGCATCTAGCAAAATAGCTGAATAAGTGCCTACCCGACCTTAATGTCACTTTTTAAATTCTGGTTATAAATGAGTTATTGCAGTAGCCAAAGAAACTTTAATAACAGATGAGAACAACGAACGAATGTCTGCTTTCAGAAAGCAACAGTATAGGGATATAGTGGAAGGTGGTATAGGGATACAATGGAAATTGTATAGAGATACAGTGAAAGGTGATGTAAATACAAAGACAAATGTGGTATCAGGACAGAAAAAGAAGGTAAAGGGACACATATTTTTTAATTAATACAGAATCAATAAAACCTGACAGTTTTGGGTTGCCTAAACCATCTGTAAGCGGTACAGACTTACCTGGACTCCTCTGGGCCAACTTTGAAGTCCTGCCATTCAGTGTACTGGGGGATGCCAGAGGGAAGAATAAGGTCGAGCCTCAAGTTGTAGTTGCGGCTGGTGGTCATAGTGTAGAGGTTTTCTGTACCTGTGAAAGTATAATTTTATTATGCTTTTTCACGTTTACTAAAAAAAACAGTATTTTTATGGATGTTTATTTTGAATCTTTAAGTAACTTGTGCATCATAATGGGGGATTTGAAACAAGGAAATAGACCGGGGAGACTGAGACCCACGCAAGTGCCCCTCTTCCGCAGCCTGCGGCCTACCTAGCCAGTACTCGCCGTCACGGTTGCCAAAACCATGCTTGTACTCAGTCCAGGAACGGTTGAAGTCTTCCCGCGGGATCTGGGTTTGTCGACTCAGGAAGACTGTCCAACCTCCGCCGTCCGTCTCCATGTCGCACCACACCTGCACCTTGTTGCTACACCTGCACCTGTTGGAGTATGAACACAGGTATCGCCAAACTTTCCCCCAATAACACTGAATAAGAAATGACTTTATAAGGGCGGAGGGGACAGCGGGGATAGATAAAAAATAATGATTTATGAAAAATGAAGAGAGACTACGTCAGGATTTAAGCCAGCTTCGGGGCAGATATGACTGTAATCTTGGTTGTGGTTGTCCCAGCTGCAGGGTAGTTCGGTTGAAGTGCAAGGTATCCACTAACAATATTTTGTGTTAAACTATATCCAGGGTAACTTATAAAAGCGATTTTTGTAAGGTCTACGGTCCATGACATGGATCTAGACCAGTGACTTGACTATGGAATATTTGTAGCATTTTGTGCTAAAATCAACTTGTTCTATCTAGGCTGGAATATTGCTGCACACTAACAGCACCTTTCAAGGCAGGTGAAATTGCCGACCTAGAAAATGTACAGAGAACTTTCACGGCGCGCATAACGGAGATAAAACACCTCAATTATTGGGAGCGCTTGAGGTTCCTAAACCTGTATTCCCTGGAACGCAGGAGGGAGAGATACATGATTATATACACCTGGAAAATCCTAGAGGGACTAGTACCGAACTTGCACACGAAAATCACTCACTACGAAAGCAAAAGACTTGGCAGACGATGCACCATCCCCCCAATGAAAAGCAGGGGTGTCACTAGCACGTTAAGAGACCATACAATAAGTGTCAGGGGCCCGAGACTGTTCAACTGCCTCCCAGCACACATAAGGGGGATTACCAACAGACCCCTGGCAGTCTTCAAGCTGGCACTGGACAAGCACCTAAAGTCAGTTCCGGATCAGCCGGGCTGTGGCTCGTACGTTGGTTTGCGTGCAGCCAGCAGCAACAGCCTGGTTGATCAGGCTCTGATCCACCAGGAGGCCTGGTCACAGACCGGGCCGCGGGGGCGTTGACCCCCGGAACTCTCTCCAGGTAAACTCCAGGTATGCGTGTAGTCAGTGTGGAACTTCAAAGGCTGTGTATAGCTTATATGTCTGTGCTGAAACCATACTGCTTTTGCGGCTGTTGCGCAGTGGATGTTAAGTATGTAAAGGCATACTTGTTATTTATTTGTTATATGGGAGAATTTGAGCGACTTGATAGTCATTTGTTGTAGCCAAACTACGTTTTTTTTTTTTTTTTTTTTTTTTTTGTGGTAATATTTTGACATTTGTTTTGCCAGTGTGAGATCTTGCTTTTGGATTTTATATAGTACTTAGAGATTGAGTCCCAACATTTCATTATAAGTTGTTCTGAGTGTTTGCGCTGCAAATTAATTCTCATTTTCCTGTGGTTGCCTAAGGAATTACCCAGACTTTTGTGATGCGGCTGATAGGCTGAATTAGGCCCACGTGCCCAATTCCTCTTCGACGAGTACATACTTAGCATTCATTGATGTGTATGTAGTTTGATATGATAATGAGAATATCTGTGTGAGGAAGCTAGTCACCTAAGACAAAGGATTTAAAACAGTATATATAGGTTACAGAGGATTCGAGGAAGGAAGCAACACTTACGTGGAGATCAGGGGAAAGGGAATAGAGGATGCTGGAAATATAAGACAAGGAAATAGGAAGGAGGATTCAATTTAGTATAGTTACGGCAGAGTTGAAGGCAAGGAAGCAATACTTACGTAAAAGGGTAGATATCGTAGACTCCGCTGCGGGTAGCTCCCATCACCAGCAGGTCTGCACAGTCCACTGGCCTGCAAAGACGAGGTTGGTTTACCTTCCGTTTGTTTGCTTTATCGTAAACTAAGATATGTAAACAAAAAATTTTGCGTGCATATTTACATTTACTCAAATATTTAACATTATTATCATATAAATTTTACTACACTGAGAGACAGACTTTCGGAAATAGTCTATGGCAGTGTTTGTAAATGACGCAAAACTGACTAGGGTCCATAAATATGATACAGACATAATCCAACAAATGGTTTCTGAAGTTCATTATGTACCATGAAAGGTGATAATAATGGGGACAAGAAATGTTAGTGTAAAACCACTAACCTGGCCGAGGAGGGGATCTGAAACACAGGCTGTAACACAGCTGCTGTTCTGTAAAGGAAAAAGTTACAAATATGATATCCTTTACTTCTGGTGTTCATCTCTGATAGGTACCTGTGTTCTCGGCCCCTCAAGGGGATGGGGCGCTTTAAGGCTGGTGAAAGGTTCTTAATCCGAGGAAATGGATCAACTATCCTATTATTTAAACCAGATTACCTCACGTTCCCGAAACACTGAATTACCCCCACTCATACAGTGCTTCCCATAGTAATAATATAATAAATAATGTTCTGTAGTAAGAGAATTTTATACACGTCTTTATTTGTACAAGAATAGCGTTACAATACCATGCGGTAAGTTACTTTATTTGTATGCATTTGTTACCGAAGATTCAAAACACAAGACTGAGCGACTGTACTTGCTGTATGAGCCACTAGAAAAACTTACTTTAGTGATTAAACTACTGTAGTTGATGCTACAGGACAACTAGCTACTGCAGTAAGTATAGTCTACATAAATGATTTACAGTACCCTGTTCCGAGGCCCACGGTGGCTCGCGCACGCCTCACTCGACTCGCCATATTACTCTTCTTGAACTCCAGCTGCCTCAGCTTTCCCTCCAGCTGCGCCTTCTGCCGCTGCTGTAGGGCGATCTGTGCTTCATTGCTATGCTGCATCCCAAGGATGTTCCGTTCTTCTCTTTTACCATTCTGAAGTTCGTGGACTTCCATGCTGTCCTCGGCTGAGTCGCCTTCACTTACCGAGTCATCTTCACTGCTACCGTCCTGACAAAGACGATTTTTTATTGGGCTATAAAAAGCATTGCAAGAGTGGAGAGGGGAAGGATTGGGATAGGAGAGAATAATAATAATGATAATAATAATAATAATAATAAAATTTCGTCAATCTGCCACTGTATTTTACCTGTGATTGCGGAATTTCCGGAAGGGCATCAGAACCACAGGCGATCCAGGTGACCAAGCCCACCGCTAATACACAAGGCCACACAGCTTTCATCACTCCCGTGCAGAGCCTTAGAGGTGCACAAAGAAGTCTTTAATGTGTATGTGTGTGTGTGTTGCCAAGACAAACACCTAAGAATATAATCCGGAAAAAGTTCCGTTAAATTAGAAACGATTACTATACAGCAGGGGTCGGCAACCTTCAGGAGAGAGAGAGAGGGCCAGGCAGCTATACAATCTCTCACAGGACGGCCGTGTTATTAAATGTAATGTAACAAAAATTTCTCGAACTCAGGGTTGCCATTAGTTTTTTAAACCAATTTTGGCCTAATTCTAGTAATACTTAATAACACAATTTATCACAAATAATTAAATAAACATTATTATAGAATGCAGATACCTAATGTACTTGTTTTACTACCAGACAACAAACTCAAATGAAAAACTCTGAGGAGGGAGGATACGAAGTAACTTTTCCAGGGACTGCTTAATCTTGAAGTGAACTACTGCATCTGTATTCCACACTAATTACAAAATTAGTGTCCAGGTGTTAAGTTGGCAGGCCAGACGGAAACCTCGCGCGGGCCGGGGGTTGCCGACCCCTGCTATGTAGTCTTGTAGGTAAAAAATTATCTTAATCAAAATATTATCAATTTTACCATGAGGCTGAAAATTAAACATGGGCATTCTGAGTTCCTGTATGATCTTATCTATATCTACCTTAATATACACCATAAATTAAAACCATTTTCGTTAATTCGTACAACAATGTTACGTTAATGCAACTCCCTCTTATTCCTAAGTATTTGTGTCTCATGTTGTCTTTCCTTTGTTAATTTAGGTTCTAGTAATCTCTCGTCTAAATGTATGTATATATATATATATATATATATATATATATATATATATATATATATATATATATATATATATTTAAATAGTTTGTGCCTCAATGAGTAACTTGCGATATTATTGCATCATACTCACAGGCTCGAGTAATTTATCTATGCTTTATTTCTGAGTGAAGCTTGTTCTTGCGAGTTATTTTCGTAATGCATATATGTGTGTACATTTATGCTTAAATATATAAATACAAAGATATTGAAATTTGCCAACAAGTAAAGTAATTAAGCAAACTTGAACTCTTCTGAGACGGGAACAACCCACAACCAACACAAATTGTTACTTTACACAAATTGCCAAGATGACAAAAACATGAATTTTCAATTAGGCAAAACGAATATAAACTAACATCAGGCAAGATGAACACAGATTGTCAATATGATGAAACGTACACGACTTATGAAGCGACTTATGAAGGTAGCAAGAGTGTGACCAACCTGCAGGAACTACGATCACATCAGTAAAGAGGCGAGTTTTTATGCATGCAGTGTTGTAAGTGCTTGTCATACGTCATCGTGTATTTTCAAAACGCGAGTGTCTAGGCTCTCTACTGTTGATAAACCTGTGAGGTGTGCCTGGTACTGATGAATTTCGCAACTTGTAAATTTGATCACTTAATCCTTTTTCAAATGGTTGTGGGTAGTGACACGATAATTCTGATTGGTTGCATGTGATATAGCCGTCTCTTACTGCCCTGGAGGTGTGGGCAATAGGGCGCCCTTCAAGATGAAGGGTTTCTGATCCATGTGATTGGAGCTATTTTCCTATTCCTTGAACCAAACCTGATTACTCTTCATTTCTTAAGTCTCTGGATAACCCCTACGGTTTCAGTACTTTGCATTAATAAAATCTTGTAAGAACATGACATTAACATGACATCGTGATAGTTAACTGTACGGAAATATATGTTAATTTAGGGTAATCTACCTTAGAACAGTTAATATTGAGATTTTATTTCAATTCGAACTAAAATCAGTGAACTGTAGTGTGTGAAAAGACTCGTATTTGCAGGATATGTTGGTTTTCTGAGCAGGGAGTTTTAGTTGGGTTGCTCCAAGGACAAAAATAGTAATGAAAAAAAAATCTTAGCTCTACAAACCCTACTTTCACACCACTACCACAGTTTCTTCCGCACTACTAACACATCTATCACACCAGAAACTTTAATGGGTAATCTGTCAAGAAACTGGTTCACCATTTGTTAGACCAGTCTTTGCGTAGATTCTGTATGAAGTACATAGATCAGCTCGAGAAAGCTGGAGGATTTGCCACCAGACTGGTCCCTAAGGTAAGGGACAGGCTACGAAGACGGAAGAGCGAAGAGCTAGGGAAGACGTAATCGCCTGAGAGACGCTGACAGGATGGAAAAGGGCAGACTGTGTGGCATGGAACGGACCAGAAGATTGGATAGATGTAAGCTGTACACTTGAATAGGCTTCTAGAAATTGGGGAAGGACTTTTACGAAGATATGTGAATAAGTGATAAAGCAAACTAATACATGGATTCGAAAGCAGAAATGACAGAGTTCAAGAGAAAAGAGACGAGTGGGTCGACCTACCCCTCCTCTCCCTCACCTCTTTTTTCTTATCCCCGCCTCTCTTACCTCCACTATTCTCCCTATTCCTTCTTTCCAGGGAGTGCCTTGGTGCTTGTGAAGGGCTCTCGATCCAAACAATTGGAGCTACCTTCCTATTCCTTGGAAAAAAAAAACCTGATTACCTCACATTCCCACGGTCCTAAGCGCTGTATGACCCCTGCGGATTTAACGCTTCCCCAATGTAGAGAGGTGCACACTGCAGTTGCATCTAAGCTTATTAAAAAGAAAGTGCTCAGGTATATTATTTTGCTTTTGCTTTATTCAATGGTACAATTCATTTGATACTTTTAAGTCTGTACAAGAAATACATAAAAATACTGCAAGTGCCAGGAAGAGGAGACAGAAAAACATGATCCTGTCTGTGGTGCTATTATCGCATACATTAAATTTTTCACGAAGCTTATACCCGGAGGTTATAAACATGGTTTATATTTGTCTACTTTTAGAATCGTGATTTTTGCAGTTTATGAAGTCAAGATTGACTATTGTAAAGAAAATTTATGACCAGTAGAATCATATTACATGATTGGGCCTTTAATTTCTTACGGTGGACTGGTAAGCCATCAGAAGGCTTCTAACTTATGATTATATGCTCCAGTTGGCAGATGATCATATGACCCATGTTAGCAGGTGATCACATGACCCATGTTAGCAGGATTTTGAGTGGGATTTTGCAACATAACTTTGCAACCTGGTTCATACCATCCGTGTCAGGAAACGCTTATTCAGTTTCTTTACGGGCAAAATACCGCCACCACTTAACAGATAAGTGTAAAAACGGTCATTGTTAGTGTATTCCGGGTGATAAGGTCATTTACATAATTTACACAATGTAAAAAACGGTCATAATTACTTATTCTTTTCTTGTTAAATCAAAGGTTTCTTCTGTAGACTTGATAGAGTTGTGGTAATAGTTAAAGAGACAGGGACCAGGAGCTGGAACTCGACTCCATAAACACAGGCGATTGCACACATGCACCACCACAGTAAACATTTACATTTCCTCGGTACACACCTCAGTACACATCACTGTCACCAAGTTTATTTTCAAAATAATGTCGGTTCAATTGTGTGTATGTAAATTTACAGAACAAATTGACAAATTCTGCCCTGCATAAGAGAGGGCAATGTTTGTACATTAGGTCTATTTCCATTAAAGGTCTTTCAGTCTTGCTGGTATATTTTGTAATTATATACTCATTTTTCCTCATCTTTTTTTTATTGGTTTATATTTTTTGAGTAGCTAATACAAGCTAATTTATTGTAATTTAGTGTGATTAACATATCTCTGCATTTGGGTAATATTTACGGTCCTATAGTACTATAATTTTCACGATGCGTTATAAGGGGATATTTCATGGTACGTAATGTAAGGTGAGGTGTTGTGGTACGTAATGTAAGGTGAGGTGTTGTGGTACGTAATGTAAGGTGAGGTGTTGTGGTACGTAATGTAAGGTGAGGTGTTGTGGTACGTAATGTAAGGTGAGGTGTTGTGGTACGTAATGTAAGGTGAGGTGTTGTGGTACGTAATGTAAAGTGAGGTGTTGTGGTACGTAATGTAAAGTGAGGTGTTGTGGTACGTAATGTAAGGTGAGGTGTTGTGGTACGTAATGTAAGGTGAGGTGCTGTGGTACGTAATGTAAGGGAGGGAACATGGTACGCAGTATAAGGGGAGGGTTCATGGTACGCAGTGTAAGGGGAGGGTTCATGGTACGCAGTATAAGGGGAGGGTTCATGGTACGCAGTGTAAGGGGAGGGTTCATGGTACGCAGTATAAGGGGAGGGTTCATGGTACGCAGTGTAAGGGGAGGGTTCATGGTACGCAGTATAAGGGGAGGGTTCATGGTACGCAGTGTAAGGGGAGGGTTCATGGTACGCAGTGTAAGGGGAGGGTTCATGGTACGCAGTATAAGGGGAGGGTTCATGGTACGCAGTGTAAGGGGAGGGTTCATGGTACGCAGTATAAGGGGAGGGTTCATGGTACGCAGTGTAAGGGGAGGGTTCATGGTACGCAGTATAAGGGGAGGGTTCATGGTACGCAGTATAAGGGGAGGGTTCATGGTACGCAGTGTAAGGGGAGGGTTCATGGTACGCAGTATAAGGGGAGGGTTCATGGTACGCAGTATAAGGGGAGGGTTCATGGTACGCAGTGTAAGGGAGGGTTCATGGTACGCAGTATAAGGGGAGGGTTCATGGTACGCAGTGTAAGGGGAGGGTTCATGGTACGCAGTATAAGGGGGGGTTCATGGTACGCAGTATAAGGGGAGGGTTCATGGTACGCAGTGTAAGGGGAGGGTTCATGGTACGCAGTATAAGGGGAGGGTTCATGGTACGCAGTGTAAGGGGAGGGTTCATGGTACGCAGTATAAGGGGAGGGTTCATGGTACGCAGTATAAGGGGAGGGTTCATGGTACGCAGTGTAAGGGGAGGGTTCATGGTACGCAGTATAAGGGAGGTTCATGGTACGCAGTGTAAGGGAGGTTCATGGTAGCAGTATAAGGGAGGTTCATGACGCAGTATAGGGAGGTTCATGTACATGTTATTAAGGGAGAGGTTCATGTACAGTATAAGGGGGGGTTCATGGTACATGGTAAGATATGGTACCAAAAGATGGCGGGTTACATTTACGCTAAAGGAAGGTATGTTCACTATTGGGGGGGTTCATGAGAAAATAGTATGGTGATACCAACAAGATGTGGATAACATTTATTAAAGGAAACGTTTCACTACTTGTGGCTTCGGTATGGTGATACCAACAAGATGCGGATAACATTTATTAAAGGAAACGTTTCACTACTTGTGGCTTCGGTATGGTGATACCAACAAGATGCGGATAACATTTATTAAAGGAAACGTTTCCCTACTTGTGGCTTCTCCAGTCCTAATGACTGAAGAACTGAAGGAACCACTCGTGGTCTCCATTACAAAGGTAAACGAAAAGCCGATCACTAATTAAAATGGACAAAAGTCACTTGTAGTCTGCAAGTTTACTGGCTTTTTTTATACACAAGGACAGATACTTCAGCAGAAATACGTGCAGATTATATTCTTGGTCACGCAATAAGTTCACATAAACAGGTGATATCAGAATATGCAAAAACCCATTATAGTTCCTTGATAATGTGAGAAGTCACGAAAGCGCTTGGAATTTCACTATTCTTTCACAGTGATTGTTTTGCATATTCGTGGTTATAAGATTGGTATTAAGATTAAAAAGGCAGCGTATTTGTAAGTCAGGTAATTTATTAGTTTTGGGGGGAGGGAAGGGTTTTCGGGATATTGCTTGCAATATTAGTACCAATTGATGATTAGAAGCCATTAAATTTCATTACTATATCAATGGCTGAGAGTGGATGTGTGTTATAAATGGAGAATGTTATTTATTTATTTAAGCGTTTTTAGATTTTTATGTTGAAGAGAACTGTCAAAGTGTCTTTTATGTTTTTGTTATATTAAGCCTGAGTAACAAGTTAAAGTATGTTTGGATCTGATTCAACTGATAATGTTGCAGAATCTTTTTTGTAGTTTCCTCAGATACTAGGTTAAGCCTCTTCAGTCATGTTTAACAGTGGAATTAGGTGTGCTATGATTAGTTTTGTCGTGTTTTGCTGTTTTTATGGATCATTGTATATATTGTGAAGGTACTGTGCTGCATTTATGTTCACTTATCGAGTTTGTTTTATGGTATTGGTAGTTTTTTGATGCCTCATTATGTACTCTGAAGTTTTTGATGGAGGGAGGGGTCGTTATAATGGTGTTATGGAAATGTTATGGGCAAATTTTGTTACATCCCCTTCTACTCTTCCCATCTAACAGTAAAACTGGATATGTATGTGTTAAGACACTGTTGTGGGTCGCATCCAGGGATGAGGGAAATAAATGTGTTAGAAAAGTCCCAGGACCCATTATGTACCTCTATAATCTTTTTTAACTACCGCCCACAGGATGGGTATGGGGTACATAATTAAGATGTTAAACTAATGTCTGCTGGAAGTTATATCCTGCTCAAATTGGCAAAGCCTAAATAAAAAATCAGTTCTGTAGGGCGTATTCAGGTGTTGGGTAAATACTTTTACATAATGCGATATATTAAATGATGTTACTAAGAGGCCAGATTTGCATCCAGGAAAAATTGTTGTGCAAATGCCTTACAAAACGCCATTTATTTTATTAATGCAGACCGGGCCGAGGGGGCGTTGACCCCCGAAACCCTCTCCAGGTATACTCATGGGGGAAATACTAACCCTTAGGGTACATATAGCGCCTGGGCATTTTGAGGCAATCAGGTTCAATCCAAGGGAGGCGTTGGTCAGGTCTAATTCCTTGAATCAAGAAGAGTCCCTCATATGCAGCGAGGGACCTCCCTTGTGTTGGAAAACTCCAGTCCTGTTGAAAGTCGCATCCTGTGTAAGAAAACTAGTTCTGGAGGCTATATCTTGTACAGTATTAGAAACTCCACTTGAACTAGACTTGTAAATACCTTTGTAACTTGTCATGATGGTGACCAGATCTACCTGGAGTTTATTACCTTTGTAACTTGCTCTGCTATCAAAACTTTGGGACCCAGTCCCTGGACCCATTATGTACCTCTGTAATGTTGAGGTACAGTCCCTGGACCCATTATGTACCTCTGTAATGTTGAGGTACAGTCCCTGGACCCATTATGTATCTCTGTAATGTTGAGGTACAGTCCCTGGACCCATTATGTACCTCTGTAATGTTGAGGTACAGTCCCTGGACCCATTATGTACCTCTGTAATGTTGAGGTACAGTCCCTGGACCCATTATGTACCTCTGTAATGTTGAGGTACAGTCCCTGGACCCATTATGTACCTCTGTAATGTTGAGGTACAGTCCCTGGACCCATTATGTACCTCTGTAATGTTGAGGTACAGTCCCTGGACCCATTATGTACCTCTGTAATGTTGAGGTACAGTCCCTGAACCCATTGTTTACTCTAATCTTTTGACTTCCGCCCACAGGATGGGCATGGGGTGCATAATAAACATATTAAACTAAACTAGTAATTATATATTCTACTAGTAGTTATATATCCTACAGGATATTGCCTCTGGCTATGTAAAATAAAAAGCTGGACTTTATATCCTGTGTTAGAAAACTCCGGTTCAGCTGGAAATTACATCCCGTTTATGGAAACCCAATCCTGCTGGAAACCATATTTTGAAAAAAAAATAATATCCACTTCTTCTGGAAGTTATATCTTGTGTAAGGAAATTTAGTTAGTTAGTTAAAGATTAGCCGGTATTCTCCCGGCCCGGGCCTTGTCCAAGTGGTGGCCCGGCCTTGGCTCCCTTTTTAGGGAGTGTCTGAGACCTAAGTCTCCCATGGGAGGAGGCACAAGTACCTCCTCATCTTTGGGACCAACTGTCCCCAGGCCTAGCCACAAGCTAAGCCTCTCTGGTCTGCCATCCCCGCCCCAAAGGGGCAAATGGGAATGACAGTCTTATGAGCTAAAGGCTCGGGCTCAGGCACCTACCCTACCCTAGAAGGGTTAGGCATGGTGTCGATGTGTAAGGAAACTCCAGTCCTACTTAAATTACTTATTAATGTGCAAGAAAACTGTAGACCTGCTAGAAGTATATTAATTAAGTTAGCCACATTTAAATTTTTCACGTATGCGTTGATGTCTCTTAAAGAAAATAAGTATACTCTTAATATGTATCTTATACAAACACCATCGAAAACTCAGTAATAAAAACTATTTCTTGGTTAGTGATAGACGGTTAAATAATTTGTAAGTTTATTATTTCAAATATGATTTGCTAAAACAAGGACGAATCCTAAATTATAGAAAACGTAATGTAAACCAGATGACAAAAGTCTTGTAATCTTTACTCCTGAGCGTTGGTTTATTGTGAAGACTATTTTATTAGGTTATAATTCACCGGGTATTTTCCTAGATGATACACCACAACTATTTCTCAACGATGTCAGAATAAATCCCCATTTATTTTGGACTTGATTAAATTCTTTTAGACTTGAGGAGCCAGGTGTGGCTGGTGGTCACGTGACCTGAACACCGTACACTGAAACATAACAATCTTAATGTTCAGTGACCCTCATGGGTTTAGCCATTTATGTTTTGTAATACTAAGAACAAGAAGTGGTCACATTTCCAATAATGTTTCCAGGAGAGAAGAGAGTGAGTTAAGTGTGTGTTGAGTGTTGTGGAAGCTTAGTGAAGAGCGGCGTCGCTGAGAGAGTCTTCAACCACTACTACCATGTTGCTTTACAAGATAATTCTCTCCCTCTCATTGTTCGCCCTCACATGGGCTCAAGCTAGAAAAGGTACGAAGGTATAACACGTTGTGGGAGCTTCTATTGGTGTGACGAAGGTAGTTATAGGGAGATTATAGTGTCGTGGGATGGACGCTGAGATGAATGCAAGTGATCTCACCGACGTTCCCAAGTTTTTTTTATTTATTTATTTATGTCTGCAAATATTACATTGAGATTTTGTATTTACAATAATGTGTTGCAATGCAAAAGAGCCTCTGTTATGTCTAGGCATTATGGTCCGACTTAACATTATTGGCTTACAGACTAATTAACACTTAAGAATTGTCATAGTTGTACAGTAGAATATTAATTATATCCTAGTTGTACAGTAGATTATTAATTATAAGTAAATCTAATTTATATAAGACAAAAGATATATTCATATATTCAAAAAAAAATTTTTGTGAAAACAATGATTCAATTATATTCCTGTCAACAATGGATAAAAGGTTCAAAGTAATTGTTGAAATTATGAGAAATCTTCGATAGATTTTTATATTTGTATTAATTTAGTGAAAATATCTTAAGCGCTAACCTACCCTAATTTAACAGTAATCAGTGAAATATCCAGAATATCCTTTTAAAGCCTACATGTCAGGTCTATTTGATGATGTTTTTTGTTATCCTAGGTAATTTACACTTTGATAATTGTACTTGTGTGTACCTTTGCCCAAACAAACCTAATTAATGTAAAAAAATGCTAGGTTAAAGTTCCTCTGGACAGACCTGGTGTCTACATGGAAAGGCAAACAATACCCTATGTCAAGCTCTTATACAATGTCAAATAGATCATCCTTTTTCTTGATATTTTGTTTTAACAGGAAACAACTTGAAAACAATCTACAATTTACCCAAATAAGATGGTCAGATTCATTCTGGACCTGAGTTTTAAAGAACATTTAAAGGATGTTCCGGAGGGGTTCAAAGAGGCCAGAGTTACTCTTATCTTCAAGAAAAATAGTAGGTCAATAGCAACTCTAGGCCTGTTAGTATACCTGGTGTTTGTCCAAAATTCTAGACAAAGCGGCGTACTGTCAAGTAGAGTATCTTAATGACAAAACCATTCTTAAGAGTTACCAATCAGGTTTCAGATCTTACTCGACCAACACCTCCCTAATTAATCTGATGGACTACCTGAAAATTCAGATGTCGCTAAGGAATCTCATAGGTATGATGACCTTAGACTTGCAAAAGGCCTTCAGTACGGTCAACCATAATACATGTATATAAGAAACTACACGCTATCAGCATAGGTTCTGTAGATTGGTTGAAGTCCTATCTGACAACAGAAAACAAATTGTCAAAATTAACAACACTGAATCAGAAACCCTGCTGAGAGCATTGGGGGGGGGGGGTCGAAGGTAGTGTTCTGGGCCCGTTGCTGTTCCTGTGTTACATGAATGACATGCCAATCAGTGTCAAGTGTAAGTTTTGTTGTATGCAGATGACAGCACTCTGTTAGTGTCAGGTCAAGACCCACAAGATATAGCTAATGTACTATCACTAGAACTAGAGTCCTGCAGCAAATAGTTAGTAGACAACAAATTATCGTTACACCTTGGGACACCAGAAGCCATACTCTTTGGGATGAAAAATAAACTAAAAAAGGGTAAATATTTTAATGTCCAGTGTAATGGAGAACCCATCACGTCAGTAAAATACCAAGCATGTCAAGATTGATGGGGAACAGTGTAGTAAAGAAAGCAAATGCCAGACTAAAGTTCCTTTACAGACGCAGTGACCACCTACTGAGGCTCGCAAGATCCTGTGTTTAGCTCTAATACAATGACATGTAGATTACTCTTGTTACTCTGCCTTAACAAAAGAAACTGAAAAATAGACTACAAATCACCCAGAACAAAATGGTGAGATTCATCCTGAACCTGGGTCCAAGAGAGCATGTAGGCCAGGATGAATTACAACAGCTGGATATGCTGAATGTTGAAGACAGTAAAAGAGCCGAAGTTAAATCAAGTTTTTAAAATTGCTAACAAGCAGAGTCCAGAATATCTTGCTGCCAAGTTTGTCAAGGCTGGAAACTAAAACAAGTACGTATAGTACTAGGGGAAGGGAACACAGCTTTGACAGTACCCACAGTACATGGTCAGGCTTCAAACACCATTTATTGTACAGCAGTAAAGGAGTGGAACAGACTGCCTGCACATGTCAAAGCCTGTCATAACATGAGCTGGTTCAGAAAGAGAGCTAAAAGGTACCTAATGAATGAAGCAACAGAAAGGGAGGAGAGGGATTTCTTTTATAGCTAGCATACATGTACCTATTACTGTAATATTCATGTACCTATTACTGTACTGTGATCTGATCCTCTCTTTAATGTTAATGTAAATAACTCAGTTGACTTTATTCCTAGTATATCTACTCTTATTGTAACTGCTCTTCACACATTAAAGTACTGAGCTGTTTACCTTTTAGGGTTTAAATTCTTAGATATTATAAGAACCCCAATGGAAATAAGTCACTTTCTGACATTTTTGAGTTATCCTAGGTAATCTACACATGCTTCTATGTATAATAATTTATGTGTACCTGTACCTCAATAAACTTATTTAGCTGAAACTTAACCATGTATCACTATATCATCTTGTATGATGTACAAAACACTTATGCAACACTTGGGTATCTTTATTGTGGAAATGTTCACCAACCAATGGCTTCCACAGTCCAGTACCAAGCACGTGTGTATATTGTTCTAATCATATTACAGTATTTATAAAGTACAATTATCTGGTTAAGGAAATTTATTAGTCTTGAATGAGAAGGAAATGTAGTTAAAAATAAATAGAAAAATTAACACTGGCTTAAACTAGATAGATTTTATACTAGTTGAGGTCAGCTTTGATTAGGTAAAGCTCAAATTTTATTTCCAAGAATTGTGTACAGGTTGATTCAGCTCTGGGATTACTTTTTTTCTTTTCTTTTCTTTTTTTACATTCTAAGGAAAACTTCCTTGTTATGTGAAGCATTCTAGGAAGACTAAAAATAGTGTGTATGAACTGCTTAATACTACTGGAGGTACTGCATTTTTATAGGATTATAATATGCAGTTATTGTTGGGCAGTTCAGTATAAAGTTTCTCTACATGATAAAAGGGGTTTGGATTACGATGGGGAGGTCACTTTGACTTTTTTTTGGGTTATCCTCAGTAATTTACACACATGTTACTATGTATGATAATTGGTGTAACTGTATTTGTGTACCTGTACCTAAAAGTCCTTCAGGTAGGTTGCTCCAGATTTGGGAGGGGGAGGGGGTCTTTTAATTTGCATGAAGCATTTACACAGGTTGAATTGAGCACCAAAGAAATATTTCTTTATAGTGTTATGCCTATTTGATCTATCAAACCATCACACCCTGAATCAGTGGTTCGATTCCCGGTAAGGGTGGAAACATTGGGCGTGTTTCCTTACACCTGTTTGTTGTCCCATTCACATAGCAAGCAAGTAGGTACCTGGGTGTTAGTTGACTGGTGTGGGTCGCATCCTGAGGGACAAGATTAAGGACCCCAGTGGAAATAAAACAGGCAGTTTCCTCAATGATTCACTGTCTTTCTTGGGTTATTCTGCATGGTTAACCCTCTGGGGTTAAAAATCTGTATGGTCTCTTTATCTTAAGATCTGTTTGATCTTTTTATTAATGTCTGTACCTGGATGTTTATTTAGTTGTCCCCCCTCCCCCCCCCCCTTTTTTTTTTAATTCAAAATGTTATTCTCTTTGTAGGCATCAAATGTTGGGCCTGCAACAGTATGACAGATCCATTCTGCAGTGACCCATTTGATAACTCTACTGCCAACCCAAAAGAGTGCTATCTTGAGCCAGAGCTGCCTCATCTTCGTGGAGTCCCTTCTACTATGTGCCGCAAAATAAGGATGAAAGGTTTGTTACTTGGCGTGATGACTTTTAATGTATTTTTTAATACTGTATACCCTGTTTTATCAAGAAAATAATTTAGCTTTGAAAACTTAAAACCTAATTATTATTGTGGTATCCTTTATTAATTAATGTAATTTTTTTTTTTTAAGTAAATGGTCATTGGAGGTATAAGAGGGACTGTGCTCGACTTGGAGAAGCTGGAGTCGGAGGAGATGCTCGCTACTGTATATACCGCACAGGAACCTTCAATATTCATATGGAATACTGTACTTGTAATGATAAAGATGGCTGCAATCCTGCAGTTGATGTTCGGCCCAGTATTTACCTCATTACTGCGGCATCCACTGGTTTGATAATGCTTATTAGAAAACTCCTTTGATCGTATTAGTTACACAACAGACAAACTCTGTTAGTGCATAGGACTTGCCCATTTGATGCTCACAATGTTTTACAACACATGGTTTGGAACTTAACCAATATTAAAGTGACAGTTGGAGCACGTTATAATTTCTGAAAGTTTTGCATTGATTTGCTCTTCAAGTTTTTTGTATTGGCTTAGCATTATCTAATATACTCTCAATGTTCACTACAGTATCACCTGAATATAAATACATTAGTTTGCACATTCTTCTTGCAAGGTTAAATGGTGTAATTAAGAAAAATATTAGCAATTGAACTGTGCCAAATAAATAATTTATAGAGGACAGATTTATTCAGGTGAGGTTAGGCCACTGTGATACTTGGCACAAAAGCAATATGTTGCAGTAAAAGGGTCAGTGGAATTGTAATGTCCGTACACTTTTGGGAAGACAGCTGTTCATTGAGTGATGGGGCTTGTATTTCCTTCTTTGAGTCACCCCTACCTTGATGGAAAATATATACAGTACAGTAGTGAGTTTGGTTCATGCAAAATACCAGCCAGTTCTTTAAACCTGCTTGATAATATTTTGAAATAATACCCAATAAATATAATGGTTAAGAAAGTTATAGAATTGCATATGGACTGTCAGTAAATACTTCGATAGCTCCAATAATTTAAGTTCATTTATAATGTGTGCCTTCATTCTGCTCTGCTCATACAAATTCAACATCTTGATTGTATGGCATCCACTTTAAAGAGGGTGGCATTCAGGTTAGAACATTTCTCCATCTTTGGGCTTTAATGTCTCTAAAGTACTGCATATTAATGGATAACATTAATATACTACTACATGATCAACTGGTACATAATCTCACACTTAGTTTTCCCTTCATAAGTGCTTCTATTTTCTTGCTTCCATTCTCGTACTTCTCGACTGTCATAAGTGGTTTTAAGGTGTCGTCTATTCTGTGTGTATTTTTTCTCGTGCAAAGAGCAACTAGGACATTATATACTGTAGGTGTAAATTGTGTGGATGTCTTACAGTAAAAGTTTGATGCCAGTAGCCTTTGAAACAGTAGTCAGAAATTTAAATATTTTTGAATTGTACATATGACTGTACATTACAAAATAAAGTACTATCATTTAAATGGCAATGTGCATTTTCTGGTGAATTATATAATTTGCAGAAAATCGGTGTTTAACAATTAAAGAATACTTTTGTTTCCAGATTTTTCTCATACTACAGTTTTGTCTTTTAGCATGTGAAAATAGCTATGTATGGAAATTAATTAAAAATCTTTTTAGTTTTTTATACAATACAGAAATCCAATTTTGTGTTTACTCTTCCTCTTTTATATAGAGAGAGAACATTCTCATCGCCCATGTATTTGGTCAGTTTCTTAGTTAAATTTAAATTCATTTAGATTAGGTGAATATCCATGTGTTAGTTAAACCTAAGTTGACCCATTTTAACTTAACCTAACCTAGGTATTGAGGGCATTATCTCACTGTCAGCTGCTGGTAAGTGAATGCAAAACTGGTATATGCCCATTTTGGAATCTGACTGGTTTACTCACCTTTCCCATTACATCTTGATTTATTATTATTATTATTATTATTATTATGAGGCAGACCAGTGAGGCAGCTGAAAGTATTGATCTTACACCTGTTGCTCCTGTTCACCCAGGAGTAATTAGATATCTGGATGTTTGCAGACTGTTGCGTGTCCCATCCTAGGGAGGGCATTAGATACAGTTAAGCTTTGAAATGAGCCGAAGTAGGATAATGGCTCTTAGTTTGTAAATTCAAGTGTGTACATAAACAATGGGAGTTTCACTACATCCCAAGGGAATCGCATGCATTTGATAGACCTTAAGCCTAACCAAAGATCTACTTCAGTGCGTATCTGGTTTAATGTCTATATGGTACAGTGCATATTGTCTTGCACTATCCAGCATTGGTTATGGCATAGTCTCTTTTCATAGCATGATTTTTCCACATAATTTAAGCACAGTATCAATAGATACTGTGCTAGTTTTCATTGCAAGGGAGAAACTTCACTGAACTCATTCCTCACTTGGCCATGTACTGTCTTGCTCTATTATATTTTCTTTGCCATTTTGATATAGAGTACATTGTATAATCATGTGTTTCATCTGCTCCGAAGTCTGATAAAGACACACAACATTGAAAACTTTTTTTTAAAGACTCTTTTTGCCTGCACAACAGGCTATTTCAAGTCTGAAAGATTATATCTGATGGTAGCACAATATATTGGTAAAAAACAGGAACTTGATCAGGTGCAAATACAAGAAATAAGTAAATATTGAGGAGCACTGCATTTGGCCTATATCCTTGTTTGGTATATCTTGAGATACACTTGTCATATTAAGTAGTGCCATGGTGAGTAATAGCATTAGTGGTAGTGGTATTATCATGCTGAGTGGTGTGGAGTTCACGACAGTATGCTTTGTTGATCAGCTGCCTGTATTGCTGGAGGTTTCACCATTTAAAATCTTTCTTAGTTCCTATAAATTGTGTGGGTGGGTGTGATGAGTGTTGTTTCACAACATTTTTTATATTTGTCACTTTTTATGACTAGTTTTGCATCAAAATGTGTTGTTCATTTAATAGGTTCAGGTTGCATATTTGTGTTCACTGGTATAATTGGTTAGATTCCTAGCAGTTTTACTGATGTACACCTTGCTACAACCTTCACATGGGATTTCATAAACTCCAGCATTTGCAGTCTGGCTGTTACTGCTATATATGTGCCTTACGTTTCATGAACAGTAGTGGAGGCTGTGACAGTTTTATTAATGTAGCATGGCTCAGTATTTTTATATTGGAAGCATCTTTACTAGTGGAGAAGACTGGATATTTGTGTGTCTTGCTGCTTGCTCTAGGAGTGCTCAGGATTTCTTTTGGTGCTTTGTCTTCAAAGAGATATTATCAGTGTGCTGAGAGGTGTGGGTAATGACAGTACTACTACTATGCCACTGCACTACTCTCTCTGACAGTACAGTGGAACCTCGACTTAAGAGTGTCCCAACATACAAGTTTTTTGAGATACAAGCTGTTGCTCGGTTGATTTTTTGCTCTGAGTTACGAGCGAGCTTCCCTGCAACCCACAACCTACACACCTCGCTTGTTTATGATTTCATGCTGTAATTCCATGGAAATCATCCTCTTTCTTCTCAACACTGTCCTTTGCACTTACTTTCTTAGGACCCATCATTAGAAAAAGAAATTTGGCCAAATAACTGTAAAAAATGCAAGCAAAGCACGAGAGAAATGCCTCCACTGCTCAGTGGTTGTTTTGGCATTCGCTGCGCCAACTAGTGGCAGTGTTCTTAAGCTTATTATTATTATTATTATTAATTTAGGGAACTGAAGCTTGCTCATTATTATTATTTTAATAATTATTATTATTAATTTATGGAACTGGAGCAGAGATTCAATTCCCTAGATCAAGGGCCCCTCACCACCACCAAGGTTCCTTGATGCTGGTGAGGGACTCTTGATCTAGGGAATTGAATCTGTGTTCCAGTTCCCTAAATTAATAATAATAATGAGCTTCAGAACGCTTGCCACTTTTTTTTTTTATATATTTTATTTAAAACTAATACAGTTTAACATAAAAATAAAGAAACAGTATGGATCTCAATCAAATTAACTGACAAACGGATTGCACCTATATGCACGCAAGATATTGCTGCCAAACATACAACAAGAACTTACGGCAATAACATAACTACCACTAATTGGCGCAGCGAATACCAAAATATCCGCTGAGCAGTGGAAGCATTTCTCTCATGCTTTGCTTGCATTTTTTACAGTTATTTGGCCAGATTTCTTTTTTCTAACCATGAGTCTTAAGAAAGTAAGTGCATAGGACAGTGCTGGGAAGAAAGAGGATGATTTCCATGGAATTACAGCATGAAATCATAAACAAGCGAGGTGTGTAGGTTGTGGGTTGCAGGGAAGCTTGCTCGTAACTCAGAGCAAAAAATTGACCGAGCAACAGCTTGTATCTCAAAAAACTTGTATGTTGGGACACTCTTAAGTCGAGGTAGGCAACTGCAGTACTTTTCAGTGTTTACTTAATTCTTGTATTCTCACTTGCTATGTTGTGATATCAGCATATAAGATCGTTCAGTCTTGAAAAAAATCTGCTACAAAGGGAAAATGTTTGCAATAAAGTTTCCAGTTGCTGGTTGTGTGTGTCTCAACCACAATTCATCGGTATTCCCATACAATCTATTGTTATCAAAAGTATTGTGTTTTTTGGGAGGTTTTTCATATACATTGTATGCAAAATAGTTTGATTAAAGTTTTTTTCATGTTTGCAGCTCAGGAGGCTGTTTTATATATTTTTCTTAATCCAAGTTTTATAAGCACTTTTTCTATTGTATATTCCTGTATATTATGAAATGGGATCTCCCCTAATTATTCTAGTATGCATCAGGAGTATATGTTGGTATAAGTAGAGGGAAGCAGTTACCCCTTACCCCTTTTTTCTGGATCAGGCCTTTAACCCTTTGACTGTTTCGGTCGTATATATACGTCTTACGAGCCACCGTTTTTGACGTATATATACTCAAATTCTAGCGGCTTCAAATCAAGCAGGAGAAAGCTGGTTGGCCCACATGTGAGAGAATGGGTTTGTGTGGTCAGTGTGCACCATATAAAAAAAAATCCTGCAGCAAACAGTGCATAATGAGAAAAAAAAAACTCCGACCGTGTTTTTTTTTTTTTAATTAAAATGCCGAATTTGTGGTCTATTTTCGTATAGTATTTATGGTTGTATTCTCGTTTTCTTGGTCTCATTTGATAGAATGGAAAACATATTATAGAAATGGAGGTGATTTTGATTGGTTTTACTATGAAGAGAACCTTGAAATGGAGCTCAAAGTAGGAGAAATGTTTGATTTTTGCCGATGTTCAAAAGTAAACAAATGATTTAATTTTCTAGTAAATGTCCAAGTACCTATTCTAATATGCAGTCATGAATGGGTTGACATTATTTTTACAATTATTACAATATTGCAGTAGTCTGCATAACAGTAAATCTTCTATTTTTTGTTTGAATAAAAATTCAAAATAGAAAGCAAGAGTTATATCAGAGGGGCCTGGAGATGTGACTGATGAACAAAGAAAATGTTGTTTTAGAGCCAGGAATGTCTGCATTGTTCATTCTGGACCCTATTTTGAAGTCCATATTTTTTAATTTTCGTGAAATTGGCCAAATTGCAAATTTCTGACCACGTTATTGGGTAGTTGAAATCGGTAAATGGGCAGTTTCTTGTACTCATTTGATAGAAAAAATGGAGTTCTAAAAAAAATAGCTATGAGTTTGGTCGACTGGAACAGTGGAATTAGCTGAAAATAGGGCCCAAAGTGGGTGAAATTGCCGATTCGTAAATATCACGAGGTCGCTAACTTCGCGAGAGCATAATTCCATCAGTTTTCCATCAAATTTCATTCTTTTGGTGTCATTACAATCAGGAAAAGATTCTCTATCATTTCATAAGATTTTTTTTTTTTTTCCGGAAAATTTGCGATACCAGGAGGCGCCTCAGGATTTGGGGTTTTGACAGTCAAGGGGTTAAGAAAAAACTACTACGTGTATATGTAGTCCACAAGCAAGCTTTCCTATTCCCTTGCCCCACCCTGTGGAAAGTTCTAGTGGATATCTATGGTACAAGGTGTATTTTTCTACAGATTCAAAATATAGACACTATTGAATTACTGTTGTACATATACAGTATATTATTTGATGAGATAGTGTCAATAATCAAGTTTTATACTATTACAATTCTAGTAGCATCCAGTCCACTCAAACTCATACATGGTGTTTAAAATATTTTATTGTACCTATGCATTCCTGAGATGGCGAATATTTATGGCATTTCCCATGTACAGTTCATTATGTTTGTGCTCAAATAATCTTACATCTTAGAAATTATAGCTTGTTCAGAAATGTCAGATTACTATTTTAAAATTATTTTGTTGCCATTTCTGATATCAGAGGGGTAGTGCAACTCTGCTTGGAAACTACGTGAAGGTAATTTAAACTAAATTAAACCCCTCCCTATAATGGACTACTTGGAAGAATGGGTGGCCAGTAATGGCAGCTCTGGTGGACAGAGAAGAGAATGTTTTGCCATGTTTGTAACAGTAATCGACAATTCTGCAACCAGTAGACTTTGTCCATTGTTTCCAAATCTACTGACCTAGCATGACCCTAGTGGGCTTAGCAGTTCTTTTTTATAATAATATTGACATAGCACAGTTTGTTCCACATTTCCGAAGTCCATTAAGTGAAGGGTCTACTAATATATTTTGATTGTTATAATAATCTCTCTTCCCTTTTGCCCTGTATCTTTTCCCTCATGTAACATGCAAAGCAGAGAGTACAGTATGTTGACTAAATCCTAATCTGAATATTTTTACTAGTGAGGTAAATGGTTGAATCCTGTATTTCCTGGGTTATTTATGACTTAAAACAGTGAAATGCATAGAATATTGTAAAAACTAAATACACTTGATATATTAGGAATGTGTGATACATTTTACAAAAGAAAATATAAGACTAAAGAGTTTAAAAAGAAAAAAAATCAATGAATTGCATAGAATTAAGACCTGGAACATTTGAGTAGTGTGTTACTCTTTATTATTTCATGAAAACACAGTACTGAAAGATATAAGAATGTACAGTTGTGTGATGAGATGTGCAACTTCACATTGTGGTTACATCATTTGCTATTGAAATACTTTTTTCAAAGTATTACTCAATCCGTCCATTCCATGTTGTACAAATTTAGAGATACTATAATTGTAAGCCCTTGTGGTTTAGCGCTTCTTTTTTATTATAATAATAATAATAATATAATTGTAGTTATTTTTTATAAGGAAGTTTTAGCCTCTTCTCATTGGCTTGCCAAAGAAATGGATGAAGCATAATTTTTAATGTGGTTAATGTACATTAAGTTATATGTTCAGTGGATTCTTTTTTTTTTTAAATTAAATGGCCATTTTAATGTTAATGTGATTTAATTAACAGATAACTAGTGAAGCGAGTGGCCTAGTTTTTTATTTCTAACTTATTCCTTATTAGTTTGTTATTTGGGTTTTAGATTTGCAAAAGTTTTAAAGAGTACTAAGTAAAGAAGTACTGTACATATATGAATGGTTACTCAAAGCCCCAAATGTATTAAGTATCTTATTCTAAACTTTGTAGACTAATTATTGGATTTCTAAAACAAAAATTATTCCATTTTTTTCAGTTTTATGATCTATATTAACTTTAACCTTTGTAATACTGTACTGTACTTAGAGCTCTGTATGCTCCGTCCAGGTGTAGCACTTAAATCAATTATGTTATTGCTGTATTCCTCTTCAAGGGGGGCTCCTTGGCGTGGTGAAGAGGCTCTTGGTCTGAGGAATTGGACCTGTCGGTCTCCTTCCTCAGACCGAACCTAATTACCCCCCAGTCCCCCCTTCCCTATCCCATCCTCCCTTTTTTCCTTTCCTCCTCCTCCCCACCCCTCCCTTTTGCCCTTCCTCTTTTTGGCCTTTGGGATTTTTCCCACAGGCACACTAGTTCATAGGTAGGGGGAAGGGTACCGGGGTCCATCCCATTCCGTTGAGGTTCTTGGCGGTGGCGTAGTTTGCCGTGGGATCTGGATCGCCTGGGGATGTCCCAACCCCTCTCCGGTATCCCGGAGGGTGGCTTTGGGTGTCTTTCGGGCGACGGGTGTATCTCTGGAAGCCACCTTTCGGATTCTGGGGGGTGGTGGCCGAAGGAGGTATGCTTTGTGGCGGATATCCGGCTGCCCTCTCTTTTGTCCACCAAGGTAGCTCGGCAGATGTGAGGTTGCTATCTCGAATTGCTGGTTTACTGGCATGAAGGGTAGGGTATGGCACGGGTTCCATGCTGCATCTGCGCTACTTGCAGTGCTGAGGTCCTCTTGGGCGCGGAGGGAGATTTCTGGCCCTTTCATTCCTCCTAGGAACTATCCCTCCCCGGTCTCCCCTTTTTTTATTCTTTTTTTTATTTTTCTTTTCTTTTCTTTCTTTTTTTTTTCTTAAAAACAAAAAGAAAGAAGTAACCTAACCATGGAGTCCCAAATCCATGACCCCGCTACCCCCGGGCCCCTTATTGTTACCGCACCCCGTTCTGACCTCGACTCATCTTTTGGCCACTCTTTGGACACTCCTAAGGCCCCTGTACCTCTTGCTGGTGCAGTTTCCTCACCTGCTTCAGGTACCGGGGCTTCCAATGACTCCTTCGATTTGTCTGACCTCCGCTCTCCTTTGACTATGCTTCCGGCCTCTCCCTCTATGGTGCGATGGTTTTCGAATCGCCAGCCCGTCTCACGTTGGACCGACTCTGGTCCCACTTCTAAACACCAACGACAATCTCCTGGCGATGTTACTTCATTACCTTCCCATTCTACTCGGAAAAGACCGACTCCCTCTCCACACTCAGTTTCAGACCACACAATGGACTAAATTCTTTACTTTACGACCGACTTCTTTTACTGCCTGTCTTTCTGACCATAGTATTGGCAAAGCGCTCCTACGCCACATTGGTAGAGATATTTCCTTTCATGCTCTTAAGAGTGGTACGCACATCATCACAGTCCAGAATTCTACCCAAGCTCATGATCTTTCTCTTCTTTCACATATCAAAACTATTCCTATCACTATCGAAAAACATCATTCCCTCAATTCTTGTGGTGGTACTGTTATTCTGCCCCATACCATAGTCCAACAGAATTTCCAGACATGTGGCAATGACATTCTCGAACAGCTGGAACTCCAAGATCTCCCAATTCTCAAGGTAAATACTTATGTTCTTCCCGCCCGCGGGCGAAGACGATACCCTTGCAATGTGGCTCGTTTAACTTTTGACAGCCGTGAACTCCCATCCTCTGTTTATGTAGCAGGACATCGGTTACAAGTTCGGAAGGTGATCCCTACACCGCAAGTGTAGGAATTGCTGGCGATTTGGCCACCCAGCAAAATATTGCAGATCTATAGCCGAATGCCCAGTCTGTGGTGCAGATGACCATTCTAATACGTCTTGCAGTCGACCTCCCTCTTGCCTTAATTGTCATGAGGCTCACCCTTCGTACTCTCGCCTTTGCCAGGTCTACTTAAATGAGCGGGAAATCCGTTGCCTCAAAGAGGCAGAAGGTCCCCTTATGCTATGGCCTTTCACTGGCTCCGTTAAAAGTGTGGAGGTTCATCTTCCTCCTCGTACTCTGCCTTCCTCCCCTGTCCCCTCCCAAGTTTCTTCCTTTTCTGCCACCTCCCGGGTTTCTGCCTCTTCTGTCCCCTCCCACACTTCTCCAGTTCCCTCCACCCTTTCGCTCCCCCCTACCTTGGTACAGTCCATTACAGCTCTGATCTTTACTCAAACTCCTCCTTCCATCTCCAATATTGTCTCCCATACAACGTCTCTGAACTCCGAAACACTTGAAGCAATCTCTGAATATATTGCAGAGACCAAACCATCAATGGACACTGATCCACCCTCTGTTCCTTCTCTTTCCTCTTCTCCATCTGCGCAACTCCTTTCTTCACAACGCACCATTCCTTCGCTACTTGAACGTTTTCCTTTGCCACTGCATGTGGACTTTTCTAACCCTTCTAGTCCGTAGGTACCCTTACCTGCGGATTTCAGGTATCTTTATCATTGCCAATCATGGCCTATTTACAGTGGAATATTCGTGGCCTTGGGTAATCGGGGTGAGCTTCAGATGTTGCTCTCCCAGTTTTCCCCTGTTGGTGTTTGCTTACAGGAACCAAAATTACACTCTGCCGTTATCTATCCCATCTCAGGCTATAATTTATTGTATTCTTCGGATCCTTTTCCTGATGGGACCTTTAATGAAAGTGCCCTTCTTCTACGCAGTGATATTCTGTACCATCAGCTATTTGTTCATACTTTGCTGCATTACAAAGCAGCCCGTATCCACTTGCATAGGTGGTATACACTCTGTTCTTTGTATCTCTCTCCTTCTCGGGCATTATCTATCCCGGATATTGCCTTTCTTGTTTCATCATTACCGCCACCACTTCTGTTACTTGGCGATTTTAATGCCCATCATTTCCTCCGGGGGGGGGGTCCGACTGTGATTCTCGTGGCATTCAGTTAGAGGCTTTTCTTGCTACCCACCCCCTCCATGTTTTAAATACAGGTACTCATACCCATTTTGATCCTTGGACTCATACTCTTGCATCGATCTCTCAGTCTGCTCTTCCTCCGCCGCATTAGACTTCACCTGGTCTGTTCTCCCGGATTTACATGACAGTGATCATTTCCCAATCATTCTTACTTCCCCTTCATATTCACCACCTATTCGTAACCCATGCTGGCAATTTGATCAGGCAAATTGGAACCTTTACTCACAACTAACTTGTTTTTAGTGAGGTTCCTTCTTCGTCCTCCATTGATGAGCTTTTACACCTCTTCTCGTCCTCCGTTTTAACCGCAGCTTCTCATTCTATACCCCAAACTTCGGGCAGGCATTCTCAGAAATGCATGCCTTGGTGGTCTCCTGCTTGTGCTCGTGCAGTACGTTTGAAACGCGCTGCGTGGGGCAGGTACCAGTACAATAGAACCACGGAGAGACTTCTTGATTTTAAGCAGAAGTGTGCAATCGCTCGCCGTGTCATTCGTGACGCTAAACACACTTGCTGGCGAGATTATGTCTCCACCATCACCTCTGCTTCCTCTATGAGTGCAGTCTGGAAAAAAGTACGAAAACCGAGTGGTAAATATTCTCCTGACCCGGCTCCTGTTCTGCGGGTTGCCGGTGTTGATATAGCAAACCCACTAGATGCTGCCAATGAAATTGGCAATCATCTGGTCAGTATTTCTCAGGGGCTCTCTCTATGCCCCTCGTTTCTTTCCTCAAAGTCTGCCAGAGAGTTAGCACCCTTGGACCTTTCTTCTCAGAGAAGAACAGTATAATATGCCTTTTACACTTCAGGAACTGGAGGCAGCACTCTCAGCTTGCCGATCATCGGCAGCTGGGCCCGATGACATTCATATTCGTATGCTACAACATTTACATCAGTCAACCCTTGCAGTCCTATTACGCTTTTTCAATCTTATTTGGTGACAAGGAGTTCTTCCACAGCTGTGGAAATCTGCCATTGTTCTCCCTTTCCGCAAACCGGGTACTATGGGACATGAAGCCTCCCACTATCGTCCCATTGCTCTTACCAGTGCAGTTTGCAAAGTGATGGAACGCCTGGTAAATAGACGTTTAGTGTGGTATTTAGAGACACACAACAGTCTCTCCACTCATCAATATGGCTTTCGTAAGAGCCATTCTACCATAGACCCTTACTACGCTTGGATACGTATGTTCGTAATGCCTTTGTGAATAACCACTCAGTTATTGCCATATTTTTTGACCTTGAGAAGGCATATGACACAACTTGGAGGTATAATATTTTGGCCCAAGCCCACTCCTTAGGCCTTCGAGGCAATCTACCATCCTTCCTTAAGAACTTTTTAACTGACAGACATTTCTGTGTTTGGGTTAATAATGTGCTCTCCCTGGACTTTATCCAAGCTGAAGGTGTCCCCCAGGGATGTGTTCTGAGCACAACACTTTTTCTCCTTGCTATAAATGATTTGGCCTCTAGTCTTCCATCCAATATTTGATCATCACTCTATGTTGCTGACTTCTCTATTGCCTGTGCAGGCGCTGACTGTCACCTCATTACAGTTTCTCTCCAGCATGCGGTCGACCGTGTTTCCAATTGGACCACCACACATGGGTTTAAATTTTCCAGTACCAAAATTCACCAAATTACTTTCACTAGACGCTCTGTCATCTCCGATCATCCTTTATACCTCTGGCACCCGTATCCCTGACCGTGATACAGTCAGGTTTCTAGGCCTCCTCTTTGACTGTAGGTTATCCTGGAAACCTCACATTACCTCTCTGAAGGCAACTTGTCACAGCCGGCTGAACCTTCTTAAAACCCTTGCTCATCTTTCATGGGGAGCTGATCATCAAACTCTCCTTCGCCTACATTCCACCCTCATTTTATCGAAACTTGACTATGGTGACCAGATTTATTCAGCTGCCTCTCCTGCTACTCTATCTAACTTCAACCGTATTCATCACCAAGGATTACGTTTATGCCTTGGTGCTTTTCGCTCTTCCCTTGTTGAGAGCCTCTATGCAGAAGCGAACGTTCCATCCTTATCCGATCGCCGTGATGCCCATTGCCTTCACCACTATGTACGCTTGTACGCTCTCATGATCTCCGCATTCCTTCCATTTATAGAATGGTCACCAATGTTAGTAGACATTATTTGTTCGCCGCCCCTGTTTGCTCCGTCCTCTCTTCACCTACATTCGCTCTTGTCTTCTCTTCAGTTTCCACCTTTCTATGCTCATGTAGCATCTCACTTTTCCCTACCCCCATGGGAAGTTCCAGCTGTTCAAGTCTGTTCTTTCTCACTCCCTTGCTCAAAAGCCCAACTGTCTATGGTAGCTTCCCGCTCTCTTTTTCTTGACCACTTCCACTCTCATTCTCATGCCATTGCAGTGTACATAGATGGCTCTAAGTCTTCTGACGGCGTAGGATTCGCAGCAGTGTTTCCGGACAAAGTCGTATGAGGGCATTTACTATCTTCGGCTAGTATCTTTACCGCTGAATTGTATGCCATTCTTGCAGCACTTACCCGTATTGCATTATGCCTGTGTCATCATTTGTGGTTGTCTCAGACTCCCTTAGTGCTTTACAGGCTATACAGAAATTTGATACACCTCACTCCTTAGTCCTCCGTATCCAACTTTGGCTACGCCACATCTCTACCAAGCATAAAGATATTGCTTTTTGTTGGGTCCCTGGTCATGTTGACGTACAGGGCAATGAACAGGCAGACACTGCTGCGCGGTCAGCAGTACATGACCTACCAGTTTCATATAGAGGTGTTCCATTTATGGACTATTTTGCTGCAATAGCTACCCACCTTCACACCCATTGGCAACAACGTTGGTCTACTCTACTCGGTACCAAACTTCAATCTATTAAACCGAGTATGGGTTACTGGCCGTCTTCTTGTCACCAGTGTCGAGGTTGGGAGACTACTCTCTCCCGTCTCCGCATTGGCCATATTCATCTTACTCGTGGATATCTCGTGGAGAGGCGCCCTGCTCCTCTCTGTGAGAATTGTCAGGTTCCATTATCGGTCAGCCACATTGTTAGACTGCCCACTTTATCAACGAGCACGTAGAATTTACCTCCGTCGTCGTCTTCGCTCCACTGCTCTCTCTTTACCTTCCCTTCTCGCTGATGGACCCACCTTTCATCCGGACACCCATTGACTTTTTGACAACAACTGACTTACTTCACAAACTCTGATACCTTCAGCCCTTTCTACCTCGATCTCTTGCTACCCTCTACCCTGCCCCACTGTTTTCTGTAACCTACTGATCGCCCCTCTCCCCTTCTGCCGCCCAATACCCTCGCTTCCTTTCCTACCCTGCAGCGCTGTATAGCCCTTGTGGCTTAGCGCTTCTTTAATAATAGTAATATTACTGTATTGTACTGTACTCGAGATACTTTTAATTTTAGTACAAAGAAATGGTGACTGCTAATATTGCTGAATCAATATAGAATATTTCAAATGAGCTTTCATATCATTTATAGAAAATATGTATATGTAGCCAATGAGCCTACATGCCTAATTCACATAGTTTCCACCAGAGGCCAGGCCTCTTGGTGGGCATGCCAGCCTGCCCACCCATGCCCCCTCTCTCTCTCTCTCTCACTCTTTCAGTGGCCTTCACTCGGTCAACAAGGCCTACTCCTCTCTCCCTCGCAGGCATGGCCCCTCCTGGGCTAGGGCACTAACACACTGCCTGTGTACTCAGATATCGCAAATAAAGTAAGAAGCCTCCGAAGCCCTTATTATTATTCCCCACTACCCAATATGCATGGTATGTCGAGAGGCTGCACGAGTCCACTCTTCAGAGGGAGTTTATAGGGGGCCTGGTGAACTTTGTTATAAATTGGCATGGTATATTTATCTTTAAATACAAATTGTGCTCACAAATTAATGGCTAATTAGCTCATAGCATTTAGCATCTCGTTTTTATTTTAAATTGACATGTCTTTATGTTGATGATTGTAATTTTCCTTATATTAATTTGCAATTGGGTATTAAAAGAGATGATACATCTATCAATGATCTAGGCTACATTGCCAATGTACTTAATAATAATGGATATTAAAACAATAAATTGCATATCAGTGGTTTAGGCTACATATCTTTGGTGTTTTATTGTCAAATTTTATTTTCAGTATATGAATGTCTTATATTATCCACTTAATGGTTAAATATAAAAGTTGGGATATAGATTTTTGAGAATAAAACGTATTGCAAAAGTAAAATTAATCTTAAATGTGCATCTTCTCTTAGAATTCTGTCCTGATGTATATTTCATGCTAAGGAATTTCCTTCCCAGGAAGGCTTGCAAAACTTTGAGAAGCATCACAACTTCTCGAAAGCCTTGCAAAATAGTTGCATACAAGAAATGCAATGTTAAGTGACCTTATCGCAGATGGACGACTATTGTATTTGAGGGATACGCTTAACTTGCATGACACTTATTAAAAGGAAGAGTTATAAGTAAGTAGGTATAACTTTCACATCTTCAATCTCTGTCCATAAAATAAATTCAGCCATTACTTATTGATTACAGCATGTATTAGATATAATTTTTAACATTACAGTGTCTTTTGCTGTATGACCTTGTGTTTAGTGCTTAACTTTATAATACAGCATCTCTAATATTACAAATTCTTGTACTTTGGTCTTCAGAAATTGTAATACAATGAAATAGTCTGGCATGTTGTCAACATTTTAAATGTGAATGTATTTTGTTACATTTTATGTATATATTGTAATTAAAATTGTGTGTTTTATATGGCTTTCATTGCAATACACACACAGTACAGTATTATGATATATGTATATAAAAGAAAGTGTCGAGAATGCTCATTTCATAAAATTTTAATTTTACTTGCTTAACTCTTCTATGACTAATCCTTGACGACAGTATGGAGTTGAGCCCATAGCTGCAGAAAATTTTTGCTGAATAATTTTATTTCTTGCTGAGTGATATATGAAAATAGTAATCTTAATGAGATCTCACCTTACAACAATGATGTATAAGTTAGCTCTTCTAAGTACTGTATGTATGATGAAAGATTCTGTAAGATCTTTAATTTAGCTTGGATGATACAAAATACTATACAGTATTAATGTGTGGTTTTCCCTCTGAATTTGAGTCAAATTTCAATATAGTTTTGCATACTCTTAGGGGAACAGCATTAAACAAGGAATTATGTTCAACTACATGAAAAATTAAATAGCACCTACTGTGATGCCTTTCACTCAGTGCATTATCATATTAAAAGTTTCATAGGCGTTCCACTAAGAATGCTTCGACATGCTCCCACCAACAATCTACCACTTCGCTTGAATGTCGCCCATTTCCAAGACATAAAATTCACAAAATCTTGCCATGCTGGAAAGTCACTAACAGAGTCTTGGCTGGAGAATTTGTGATGTTTTGCCTTTCCCTCATCAATGTAAGATGCCCTGTTTCTTGCGATGAATTTGTTTAACCATCTTGGTGTGTCTATGTCCTTATTTTCTCTACCACTTGTAGCCTGGATATCTGGCTGCTGCTGTGGTACAGAGTCCCTTGCATTATGAAGCTTTAAAAAATCCATATTTTTGCTTGTTCTTGTGATCTTACTTGATTCCTGAATTGGATCTTCAGTTAGAGCCTGATACATCTTTAGTAAGGAAGTATTAGTGAAGGTGTACATAAAAGAAGAAGGCTCTGGTGAAGTGGTAATTACAGAATGAAATGAGCCACTTGGGAGTACTAGCTTGTCTCCAGCCTCAAGAACTACTGACTTAGTGCTTTTTGTTGCTTCTTTCTTCCCATTCTTGCCTGATACCCCACAGAAAGACAGGGGCATCTTTAGTTTCTTTTATTTTCCAAATCTTGATTGATTCTCTCTCCATTTCTCTCTCTCTCATAGTTTTTGGTGCTTCTTTCTTTGTTCAGATATTTCTCCTTGGTAAGGTCACACAAAATGCAGTGCTTATTAATTGTGTGATCATGCAAGTGGGACAGACAAGGATAAGTTGTGCAGCATTCTGCCATATTGCATATGTCAGTGGCTCCACCACAGGGAACATGACTGCCCCTACCACATGGGGCAAAATTATCATCAGAAAGGGAATGAAGGCCATCAGCTTGTGCATTACTAGTAAGCAGAACCACCACTTGACCCTGCATGACCTCCAGAGTTACATCAGCCAGGTCTTCACTGAGGAAGTTCTCTAGTGTCAGACCTAGAAGTGGAAAAATATATAATTAAAAATACATTCTCTATGTCCCAAATGGGTTAAGTGCTTGTTTTTAATACATTACTGTAACACTACATTGCATTTAGAAACTTGCTGATAACTTGCTTCAAAATGCATGCATAAGTTATAACAGTTGGCACAAGTACCGAATAATTTATACAGTTTTAACGATTTTTGGCAAATATAATAATCGATATTCAAGGGAAGCGACTAAATACTAGTGAAGGGCTCTTAACTCAAGGAATTTGAGATACACACTCCTTGAATTAAACTTGATTACTAACCATTCCCCAGGTGCTGTATTCCATACAGAATTAGAACCTCCCAATAATTATTATAATACAATATAACAATCTCATTATGGCCCTGGATGACCCAATACAGATTTTTTTTATTAATACAGTGGTACCTCGGGATATGAACTTATTTTATTCCAGAAGGCTGCTCATGTGCCAATACCAAACGAATTTGTTCCCATAAGGAATAATGTAAATTAGATTAATCCGTTTCAGACCCCCAAAAATACACTTACAAAAGCACTTACATAAATACATTCACATAACTGTTCCAGTTTTGAGCTGTTTGTATCCTGAGGTACCACTGTATATATCCCCACCCCTCCCTCAGAAGGTTAGGAACATTGCAGTTTAGAGAGGCATGAGAGCTGTAATGTTTGTGAGCGTCTGGCAAGATGTAGATGGAGTGAGTGAAGATGAAAGTGTTTCTTCTTTTTTTTGGGTCACTGTACTTTGGCAGGAGACAGCCTGTGTGTTGAAAAATAATAATAATAACCAACAGCATTATCATCAATAATCCCTACCTGGAAAGTCAGCTACAAAGATGGCATCAGAGGCTGGGTTCACCATCCACAATGTCTCCTGTAGTTGCTGAAGGTGATTTCTCCAGCCACTCAACTCGGACACTATTGGCAGCACCCACCTCGTCTAGGCATGGGTAAAGTGTCCTCGGTACAGGTTTACAGAGGAGGAAAAGAGAGGGATCAGTAGGTATCCGAGTGATAATTAAGGGTTGATACCGAAGAGGGTTAACATGTCCAACAGAATGACATGTCTAAAACAAGTAAAAATTAATCAAGCATAGTAATTATTATTATAATCATAACTAAGTGCTAAACCCACGAGGGTCATACAGTGCTGCTGAGCATAGTAGAGTATGTCAAAAGTGCTTTTGGGATAAGAAGGGAACTAAGTTGATGTCCCAAGAAAAAATGGAGGGACATATGTATCTTAAAAGTATATCCAACAAAACATATCTTTAACTTACACAGGATAAATATATCAGCACATATATACACATTATGTGATGACTGGTGAAGCCAAATCCTCACGGACAGGAAAATACCATACACATACTCTCACACTATTCAAAAAAGTTTTAGAAACTTACTGACAACCACTTATTCTCAGTTCCTCCTGGGAAGCAAAGTGGCCTCAAGCAATTACTGGGGCTCTTTTGTTTTTAACAGCCCTGCTTATAGTACACTGTGATGTAAATTTGAGACCTGTAAGCCTTGCCCAGAAACTGTTACTGGCCAGCTCTCACCTCTTGCCAAGGATTCCATGGAGCCTTCAAGATATTCACATTAGGATCAAATACACGCTGCTGGAATCTCCCGTTGAGGGATTTCCATACGTCAATATGCAAGGAGGAGACATGAATGCCCCGGGAGGCCAGTCTCTGCTCTATGCACTGCCCATACTGCACCACCATGTCTGCATGACTCGTCCACCGTTTGCTCTTCACCCATATCTAGAAAGTGTTGCACAATAATAAAAACTGGAACAAGTGGTCACTGCTTTTGTGATTACAGTACTGTACATCTATCTATTTGTAGCTACATGAGAAGTTATGCTCGTGGTTCCTTCAAGGAGGCAGTTTAATGCTGGTGAAGGACATTTGATATAAGGAATTTCAGCCACTCTCCACTTCCTTGAATCAAATATGGCCACTCCCTATCCTCAAGGAGCAGTATGACCCACATGGGTTTAGCTCAAAACTTCATTACCTCCCATTCCCCAGGTGCTGTATGATCCTCATGGATTCACCATTTTTGCATGAATATATTAATGGTGTAACTCTATAATCATTGTAAACGCTCAAGAGTACAGTGTATGTAATATCCATAGAAAAGCTAAAAGAAAAAACACTCACGTTGGGGTCTAGGTAGAGTACGTCCCCTGTAGTAGCTGTGACAGCAGTGACTTTGATGTGGAGGACATCCCAAGAGTGTACCATCATATCCCAGCTGTATCCGTAAGGTCCTTCCGTCCATGTGTTGTATCCCTGTCATGAACACCATAATATAATTACTCCCTTTTTCCTTGAATCAAACCTGACTGTCTTCCATTCCCCAGGTACTGTATGACCCCTACAGTGCCGGATTTAGGTGGTGGGGGCCTGGGGCCCAGTTTGGTGGGGGGGCCCTTTGCATTAAAAAGGTCTAACTTTAATGTTTAGAAGACTTTTAAGCTTCCCCTTCGACAACTTTTGCCACTCTCAATATACGTACCATCCTCTTAAGATGAAGAAATGAGACAATAAATTGGATTTTTAGTGTTTTAGCACCCTTTCGGCTCATTTGCAAGTGTAACTCAAAAGTAATTTACAGACTTACGAGGAGTTATCTTCAAATATTAAGCCAGGTACATTCCGTGTTTTTCTGATGGAAAAGTCTCTGATGACTCCATCATAATCCAACGAGCACAGGACCTGGACCCCTATGAGCTTAGCCCTACCCCTATGAAATTAATATATGATGATTCCAAACGAATTCATCCCTCTCTAGTTGAAATGTGAACAGATACTGTATTTCTAGTTAAAATCTTTGAGGGTGGGTACCACTGCTGGTGAAAGGTTCTTGATCAAAGGATTTAAAGCTACCTTCACATTTACCTTGGTGATGAAGTGAGAGAAAGGAAGGAAGAGCTGGAGACAAAGGTATGCCAGGACCGCCACCGTCGTCGCCTTCTGTCGTCTGGTTACAAACCCGTTTTCTGCAATGCATTATATGTATTTGAAGATGTCTACAAAGTTGCAGCTGTATAGAGAAAATGTGACATAAGTACATGGTCACAGAGAAACGAGCAATTTGATGGGGTACTAGATACAATCGACTATGTTACATTCACAAAACCTCACCTCCATAATAACAGTTTGGGTTCCTCTCCAATGCCTTGATAATTTTTTCGTTATCTTCTCCCTTAACTGTCTCTGGTTTTTTCTCCTCATCTTCGCTTCCAGTTGTTTCTTTTGCATTCCCTGTGGCATTTCCTTCCAGTACAGTGGATTGCAGACCTTTTCCTGGAGCGGAAAGGAGGGAACTGAAGGTAGCAAGGATGGGACGAGGCCAGGAGGTGCTGCAGAAGATGGGCAGTGTTGCCAGGCATACCCATGGAAACATGCCTGCAAGAGAGTGCTACTCAGGATGATGCAGGGTGTACTCACCTACAAAATTTTATCTGCTAGGTTGAGCTCCAGTTCAACCTAACAGCCTATGGTCAAAAGTCCTTCTGACCATATTGTCTCATGTGGCTATTTCTTGCCCTGTTGGGCTTTGTCATACCTACTTTGATGAGATGAGAAGAGAATTTCCAATTTAATTAGATACAAGCTGTCAAAGTCAGTAGACATCACTATCGCACATTAGTGGTGTACAGCTTAATTTTGTTTGCATGTACATCTTTACATCATTTTGTGTTTTCTATTCTACGAGGTGTTTCCCTTTACGATGTAGGTTTATTCGGGTATAGGTACACATAAATGCAGTTACATAAATTATCATACATAGCAGTATATGTGTAGAATACCTAGGATAACTCAAAAAAGTCAAAGTGACTTATTTCCATTGGGGTCCTTGATAGGATTTTTCTGCTCTATTTCCTGTTCCTCATTGCCTTGCATTTATACTTGGTGACAGTGTAGTGTGAGATATTACTTTTTTTTTTTTAACTGATGACAGACTATTAAATTAATATCACTAGATGTATAATAATTTTAATCTGCGTTGAACACTAACGACATTATCCTCTGTAAACAAAGGGTTATACTTTTGTTTCATTTTCATGTTCTTTAAAATCTGTCATGAATTCTACATTGTTTATAAGCACAAGCAAAACATACGGACCTATGGAGAAGATCTGGGAGTTCATGAGGTGAAAGGCAGCACCGAACACCAGACCCGTTGTCCTTGTTACATCGAAAAAGAGAAGAAATCCCAGCAAGGAGTCCAAGGTGAATCCTCCGAGGTGGACAACGAAGTAGTCAATATTGTCATTGCTCAGGAACACTCTGGAGGGTGTAATTTTTATTTATTCAAATGCAGATTCACCAACAGTGTGTGGTTAACTATTTTACTTTAAGAGAATGTGGGAACAGTACCTAGTTAGGCATCCCTAAAAGAGTAACATTAGCAGATTTCTTCCTTAAAAGTTTTTCAATTATAACTTGAGAACACCTGATCTGATCGGCTTCAAATTTTCAGCACTGATTTAATGTTACTAGTGGAAGGTTCATGCAACTGTTAGCATGTGTTAGTGTTCTGGTAAATTTTGTATAGACAGACTATTCAAACTTTTGGAATCTGTGCAACTGATTTTTTGATGAAATTAAGACACATGTGCAACATCTGGGTATCTTTATTGTAGACGTTTCGCCATCCAGTGGCTTTATCAATACAAATTCCAGGACATAACTTGAAGACAGTAGGACTATATACAGAATATGAGGTAATCAGTCCCTCAACCTAGCAGTAGGTGCGAAGAGCACCATAGTCGTGGAGATTCTCCACGACTATGGTGCTCTTCGCACCTACTGCTAGGTTGAGGGACTGATTACCTCATATTCTGTATATAGTCCTACTGTCTTCAAGTTATGTCCTGGAATTTGTATTGATAAAGCCACTGGATGGCGAAACGTCTACAATAAAGATACCCAGATGTTGCACATGTGTCTTAATTTCATCTTGTCGGTATTATATACCATTCTTGCACAACTGATTTTTTGTTGTGTTCAAGGCCAATTCGCCAACTTTATTGCAGATATTGGGAAAATTCCAGTATTATATTGGCTTTCATGCGATTTGTGAATGCCTCAACTAATCCGTTTCAATTCTTTAATGTTGATGCAGCTTAGAGGCAGAGTTTTAACTGTTACTGAACTGTCTAGGCGTCAATTTGCAAAATTACTTCAAACTCCTCAGCTGCCCTTATTTCGTATCTTAGAGAAAGCATGCAAATTCTAGTTTCTTAAAAGAAAAAAAAAAACTAGGGCTCTAGAGGAGTTGAAAGAGAATATAACTGAGAAATATTGAAAACTTTAATTTTTATGGCATTTTAAAGTTTCTTGAGTTCAGCGAGTCCTTTAAATATCGTACTACGGCTTCTTGTTATCAAGCCAGTTATGTACCTGAAGGGTGAGAAGACCCAGTGTTGGGCAAGGTGCTGCATGGAGTACCCGCTGAGCCAGTCCTGATCTATCTTCTTCACCCCTGCCAAGAAGTACAGTAGGAATACCTGGGCTCTCAGAAGGGTGTAGTTCCACAGGGGTACGTGGCTTGCACCTGACCCCACTGACCTGATCAGGAAAGGTAAAAGGGAAGAGGGTAGATGGTGGTATATAGGAAAGTATAAAAAGGGAGGAAACATTTTATTTAGAGTTTGCCCTGAGGGGCGAGTTTATTGGGTAGTGATACTCCTGTACTCCACAACTCTGAGAGTAACATACATGTTCATCCTACTCTTTACCGTCTTTTTTTTCAGAGATGCAACACTAACTGGCCACGTGTAGAGGTAATCAAATCCTGGCTACCCTCGTCGCTACTCTCATTTCCACCTCACTTATCATGCACACCTCTTTCATCTAATGCTGTAATACTATAATGATTTAACATTTCGTACCCTATTTCACTTACTCCATTCTCTATATTTTTTTGCATTTTCTTTGTAATTTGCTGCACTGTGTACCTGACTGTCGTCTGTTCTCTTACTGTGCTCCAATTCTTTTTTATTTATCAGCTCTTGTCTTTCCTGTTATGTTAATGAGAAATGGTAGCTAAATTGTGAATGACCGGCTCTGGGGTTACAATTCAGCTTTGTTAATATAAGGTTAGGGCTACTATTAAAGTGGATGCTTTGATGCCGGTGAAGGGCTCTTGATACAAGGAACTGGAGCTGCCCTCCCCTTCCTTGGATACGGCTGATTACCTCCCACTCCTCATGTGATATAGACCCCTGTGGGCTGAGCGCTTCTCCATGAATAAATATTAATGTTAGGGTTAAACTTTACAATTGTCACTGCAGATATATGTGAATGGTGGAGAAGCAGTGTATTTAAAATCTTATAGCCACTAAAATGGACCAACATGCAACATACAAGAGAAATAGCAAGATTAACTCAGCATTTGAGGTTGAAGACACAAGAAAGATTACCTTAGCATCCGAGTTATAACCTTCAACCCCATAAGCATTGCTTCTGGGGTTGAAGAGACGAGAGTGAGAGCGAGACCTGTATCTGTGGTAATGCAGAGCATGTTCGCCACTATTCATGATAATTAATATACACGATGGAGCAGAGAAAATGCATGTTTTTCAAACGGCTAGTACTTGGCGGCGGGTAAGGTAAATGACCTTGAGCGACCGTTGATGGATAGCTCAGACAAAGCAGCTTCAGTAGCCATGGAGGGTAGAGCATCGTGTGTTTGCCGTCGAGCAGTTTTTTTTAGAAACTGTGATTCTGTAGTAACTGCTCCAACGCTCCATGGCTACTGAAGCTGCATTGTCCGTGCTGTCCAGAGTAGTAGCCGCTTGAAAAACATGAGTTTTCTCTGCTCCACCATGTATATATAAACAAGGCTGGATATGTGCTAGGGAATTTGGTGTTTTGATTATAATTAATAATCTCATTAACATTATTTTAATTATTATTTTTTTTGGCTTAATAGGAATCAGGTGTTTCCTTAAGTGTGTAGCTAAACTCTGACCTCTCCCCCGTCCCTTTCCTCTCCAACACCTACCAGCATCTGTGGGGGTCGCTGACCAGGAGGATGGAGGTGAGGAGACCGTAGAGATACGAGTGGTTGTTCCAGTAGGTTTTGTCCAGGAGAAACAGGTACCAGTAGGATACAAGGAAAACACCACAGGAGACCCGCCAACGCCACCCCACTGTCATCATTAATAAGCCTGTCCATCGACCACACATTCACAAAAACGGAAACACATTAATATATATATATATATATATATATATATATATATATATATATATATATATATATATATATATATACGTCGTGCCGAATAGGTAAAAAATGGTCAATTAGCAGCAACTCATTTAAAATAAAGTCCTTTCTAAAATGTTCTCTTATATGTTTAAAGATTTTTTTTATTTATGTTAATGTAAAAATTAATAATTTTTGTACCAAAAGAACCTTAGAAAACTTACCTAACCTCATTATAACAAGTGCAAATAAATTTAACCTAATCCAACTATAGAAATAGATATTTTATTATATTTTTCATTTAAAAAAATAATGGTTTGAGTAAGAGAGGTACTTACACAGTAGCATGAGGCCATAGAGGAGAACCATGTAGGGAAGTGGAAGGGGAACGAAGTGGGGGAAAAGAGGGAAGTGGCAGATGTCGGGGTCCCCCCACTTTATGTCAGCCACCCCCAACCCCCTCTCCTGCGGCACATCCAGCATCATCAACACCCCTGCAATGAGAGAAACGGTTAGCACATCTGTAAGATGCCGGGAAAGGTCATTATCAAGAAAAGGCAAATAAGTAAAGGTAATTTAGCCCAAGGAGTAGTGTAATCTTGTTCTCCATTAGCGTCCCATGACTCGACTGGCAACGCACTCGTCTCATACATTGAGTACCAGCTGTTTAATCCCCGGCATGGGTGGAAACGTTGGGCATGTTTCTTTACACCTGCTGTCCCTGTTCACCTAACAGTAAGTAGGTACCTGGCTGTTAGTCGACTGTTGTGGGTGCCATCCTAGGAACCAAGAATAAAGGGCCCCAATGGAAATAAGACAGTCCTCGATGACGCACTAACTTTACTGAGTTATCCTAAATGGCTAACTCTCCGGGTTAAAAATCCCAACAATCATGAGTCTTTGTGAAACATGACATTATTTGATCAGCGACTCATGCCATTATGATTCACAACTTACCGATTCCCAGTCAACTTAATGATGTATGTACGCATTAATTGTGCAAATTAATGACTCACCAAACATGACCCTGGTGGCAGCGAGGGCAGCAGGGTCACAAGGCCGGTGCAAGAGTCTCGTCAGGTCACTAAGAGTTAACACCTCCTTCGGTTGGAATCCCAGAATCTGTGTGCGCGAGGAGCAACAGGCAAATTAACTTATCATTGTTAATCATTATTATTCACTGGGAGGCGTTAGAATCGTAGGGGTCATGCAACGTCTGGGGAATGGGAAGTTATGAGGCTTCATTAAGGGGAGGATATTTTCAAGAGCCCTTTACTGGCATCAAGACACGTCCCTTGAAAAGTGCTGGCAAAAACAAACCGTAAAAATAATTTGTATTTGTCACAGCAATCAAATGATGAATTAAATACAGTATTACCAATTTTAGCAATCATCAGGTAGTTTAGTTCAGATTTATATTTATGAAATTTAGTATGTTGATTATTATTACAATGAAAGAAAGCGCTAAACCAACAAGGGTCAGTATGTTAATTAATCTCTCTCACCGGTGAGCAGGTCCATGGCCTCAAGGCTGCCTTCTCATGCCCCGAGACGTTCGCTGTTCTTTCCGAGTCTTCTGATTTATCTGAGTCGCTTGGCACTGCCGTAGCATCCTGACGTCTGAGGGAAAGGTCTTGTGGCTCCTGTAGAGGAACTGAAGGCTTCTTACTTGTGGAGGCTCCCATAAGTGGTCCAAGAAGGAGCGACTTTATAAGCTACAGTGATTTAATGTAAACAAAAACTACCTTAGTAATTATATTTTATGGCGGCATTTTTAAAATACACAAATACAGGTGTGGATAAGAAAATATCAGAAAGACAGGTGTGGATAAGAAAATATCAAAGACAGGTGTGGATAAGAAAATATCAGAAAGACAGATGTGGATAAGAAAATATCAGAAAGACAGGTGTGGATAAGAAAATATCAAAGACAGGTGTGGATAAGAAAATATCAGAAAGACAGGTGTGGATAAGAAAATATCAGAAAGACAGGTGTGGATAAGAAAATATCAGAAAGACAGGTGTGGATAAGAAAATATCAGAAAGACAGTGTGGATAAGAAAATATCAGAAAGACAGGTGTGGATAAGAAAATATCAGAAAGACAGGTGTGGATAAGAAAATATCAGAAAGACAGGTGTGGATAAGAAAATATCAGAAAGACAGGTGTGGATAAGAAAATATCAGAAAGACAGGTGTGGATAAGAAAATATCAGAAAGACAGGTGTGGATAAGAAATATCAGAAAGACAGGTGTGGATAAGAAATATCAGAAAGACAGGTGTGGATAAGAAAATACAGAAAGACATGTGTGGATAAGAAAATATCAGAAGACAGGTGTGGATAAGAAAATATTAGAAAGACAGGTGTGGATAAGAAAATATCAGAAAGACAGGTGTGGATAAGAAAATATCAGAAAGACAGGTGTGGATAAGAAAATATCAGAAAGACAGGTGTGGATAAGCAAATATCAGACAGGTGTGGATGGGCAAATAGGATAAGCAATTATCAGACACAAGTGTGGATGATCAGATACCAGAAAGACGACATTATTGTGTGAAAGATGAAATATCAAGACTTACCTGCCATAGACCTCAAGCCTTCTATCGATTATGGGAGATTTTAAGAAGAATATATCCTCGCTTTAATACTGCTCATAGTATAAATAAATGGCCTACTAGTGGGCTACAAACTTTTGGATGTTAATGTTAGTATATAACCTAAAACTAATAAGAATGGGAGCTGTTTGCAAGAAATAATAGGCCAGGAGATATTGAATACAAGAATATAAATTATAGTATTAATAATATTAAAGAAATTTAAGGAACTTCTATGCTGAGTATTAGTAGCAGTCTGCCCTACATCCCATATAATGGGAATGGGGTGCGTAATAAAGATACATGATGACACTCTTCAGGTCGCTTGTTCTATCTAGGCTGGAATATTGCTGCACACTAACAGCACCTTTCAAGGTAGGTGAAATTGTTGACCTAGAAAATGTACAGAGAACCTTCACGGCGCGCATAACTGAGATAAAACACCTCAATTACTGAGAGAAAACACCTCAATTACTGAGAGCGCTTGAAGTTCCTGAACCTGTACTCCCTGGAACGCAGGCGGGAGAGAAACATGATTATATACACCTGGAAAATCCTAGAGGGACTAGTACCAAACTTGCACGTGAAAATCACTCCCTACGAAAGCAAATGACTCCGCAGACGATGCAACATCCCCCCAATGAAAAGCAGGGGTGTCACTAGCACGTTAAGAGACAACACAATAAGTGTCAGGGGCCCAAGACTGTTCAACTGCCTCCCAGCATACATAAGGGGGATTACCAATAGACCCCTGGCTGTCTTCAAGCAGGCACTAGACAAGGACCTAAAGTCGGTACCTGACCAGCCGGGCTGTGGCTCGTACGTTGGATTGCGTGCAGCCATCAGTAACAGCCTGGTTGATCAGGCCCTGATCCACCATGAGGCCTGGTCACAGACCGGGCCGCGGGGGCGTTGACCCCCGGAACTCTCTCCAGGTAAACTGAACTAACTTTGCACGGGCATCATGCGTGGCGAGGCTGGATGAGCACGACACACTAGACCATCCTTCCCTACAATCACCACTCCCTCCATAAGACCTTCCTTCCCTACAATCACCACTCCCTCCTTAAGACCTTCCTTCCCTACAATCACCACTCCCTCCATAAGGCCTTCCTTTCCTATAATCACCACTCCCTCCACAAGACCTTCCTTCCCTACAATCACCACTCCCTCCTTAAGACCTTCCTTCCCTACAATCACCACCTCCCTCCAAAAGGGCTTCCTTTCCTATAATCACCACTCCCTCCAAAGACCTTCCTTCCTACAATCACCACTCCCTCACAAAATCTTCTTCCCTACAATCACCACTCCCTCCATAAGACTCCTTCCTACAATCACACTCCCTTACAAACTTCTTCCCTCAATCACCACTCCCTCCGTAAGACCTTTCTTCCTCAATCACCACTCCCTCCATAAGGCCTTCCTTTCCTATAATCACCACTCCCACCACAAGACCTTCCTTCCCTACAATCACCACTCCCTCATAAGACCTTCCTTCCCCCTAATCACCACTCCCTCCATAAGCCCCTTCTTTACACTCACCACTCCCTCCACAAGACCTTCCTTCCCTACAATCACCACTCCATAAGACCTTCCCTACAATCACTACTCCCATTACAAGAACTTCCTTCCCTACAATCACCACTCCCTCCATAAGACCTTTCTTCCTTACAATCACCACTCCCTCCATAAGACCTTCCATACAATTACCACTCCCTCCATAAGACCTTCCTTCCCTACAATCACCACTCCCTCCATAAGGCCTTCCTTTCCTATAATCACCACTCCCTCCACAAGACCTTCCTTCCCTACAATCACCACTCCCTACACAAGACCTTCCTTCCCTACGATCACTACTCCCTCCACAAAATCTTCCTTCCCTACAATCACCACTCCCTCCATAAGACCTTTCTTCCTTACAATCACCACTCCCTCCATAAGACCTTCCATACAATTACCACTCCCTCCATAAGACCTCCTTCCCTACAATCACCACTCCCTCTACAAGTCCTTCCTTTCCTACAGTCCCTACTCCCTCCGTAAGACATTTCTTCCCTCCAATCACCACCCCTCCATAAGACCTTCCATATAATCACCACTCCCACCACAAGACCTTCCTTCCCTACAATCACCACTCCCTCCACAAGACCTTCCTTCCCTACAATCACCACTCCCTCAATAAGACCTTCCTTCCCTCCAATCACCACTCCCTCCATAAGACCTTCCCTACAATCACCACTCCCTCACAAGACCTTCCTTCCCAACCGTCACCACTTCCCTCCATAAACACCTTCCTTCCCTCAATCACCACTCCCTCAATAAGACCTTCCTTCCCTACAATCACCACTCCCTCAAAGACCTTCCTTCCCTCCAATCACCACTCCTCCATAAGACCTTCCCTACATCACCTCCAATAGCCTTCCTTCCCTACATCACTATCCCTCCCAAAAACCTTCCTTCTACATCACCACTCCCTTCCAAAGACCTTCCTTCCTACAATCACACTCCCTCATAAGACCTTCCTTCCCTCAATCACCACTCCCTCAAAGGACCTTCCTTCCCTACCAATCACACTCCCTCCACAAGACCTTCTTTACCCACCGTCACCACTCCCTCCGTAAAGACCTTTCCTTCCCTCCAATCACACTCCCTCCTAAGACTTCTTTACACTCACACTCCTTCCACAAGACCTTCCTTCCCTACAATCACCACTCCCTCCACAAGACCTTCTTTCCCAACCGTCACCACTCCCTCCGTAAGACTTTCCTTCCCTCCAATCACCACTCCCTCCATAAGAGCTTCTTTACACTCACCACTCCTTCCACAAGACCTTCCTTCCCTCCAATCACCACTCCCTCCACAAGACCTTCCTTCCCTACAATCACCACTCCCTCCACAAGACCTTCTTTCCCAACCGTCACCACTCCCTCCGTAAGACTTTCCTTCCCTCCAATCACCACTCCCCATAGGCTTCTTACACTACCACTCGCTTCCACAAGACCTTCCTTCTCCAATCCACTCCCTCCAAAGACCTTCCTTCCTACAATCACCACTCCCACCAAAGACCTTCTTTCCCAACGTCACCACTCCACTCCGTAAGACTTTCCTTCCCTACAATCACCACTCCCTCCACAAGACCTTCCTTCCCAACCGTCACCACTCCCTCCATAAGACCTTCCTTACAATCACCACTCCCTACACAAAACCTTCCTTCCCTACAATCACAACTCCTTCCATAAGACCTTCCCTACAATCACTACTCCCACCACAAGACCTTCCTTCCCTACAATCACCACTCCTTCCATAAGGCCTTTCTTACAATCACTACTCCCTCCACAAAACTTCCTTCCCTACAACACTCCTTCCATAAGACCTTCCCTACAATCACTACTCCCACCACAAGACCTTCCTTCCCTACAGTCACCAATCCCTCTATAAAACCTTCCCTACAATCACCACTCCCTCATAAGACCTGTACAATCACCACTCTCTCAATATGACCTTTCTTCCCTACAATCACCACTCCTTCCCGAAATGCCTAGCCATGCTAAGCGTTCTAGTGGTACACTCTGTAATCACAATTTTACTACATGTAAACCACACAATAACCAAATTTCTGTAAACTCAGCATTGTAATCCTTATAGAGAATAAACTTTGAATTTGAATTTGAATTGAAGACCTTCCTTCCTACATTCGCCACTCCCTCCATAAGATCTTCCTTCCCTATAATCACCACTCACTCCATAAGACCTTCATTCCCTACAATCACTACTCCCTCCACAAAACCTTCCCTACAATCTCTACTCCCTCCACAAGACCTTTCTTCCCTCCACTCACCACTCCCTCCATAAGACCTTCCATATAATCACCACTCCCTCCACAAGACCTTCCCTACAATCACCACTCCTTCCTTCCTTACATTCACCACTCCCTCCATAAGACCTTCTTTACAACCACTCCCTCCATAAGACCTTCCTTCCCTACAATCACCACTCCCGCCCACAAGACCTTCCTTCCCTACAATCACCACTCCCTCTACAAGACCTTCCTTCCCTACAATCACTACTCCCTAATTAAGGCCTTCCTTACAATCACTACTCCCTCCACAAGACCTTCCTT